GAATCAAACTTAGTGCTGGTTTTAAAACAAGCATCATTCTAAGTTCTTAACTACAAACTATGTTCTGATTTTTTACATCAAATAAGGCGCCAGATTCGGCCATTACCATACCTTGTCCTTTGTGAACCAAGAAGCAGATATATTCAAGTCGTTGAATACAATATAATAGTGTATTCGATTATTGTTGACTTCACGATCGTGTAAATGGATCAAACATGATTAGTTCCCTGTCAGTGAAACTGGGTAGGTTTGGGGGGGGGGGGGTTAGGTTTCCTCTTCATCTGTCCGTCTGTCTGTCTATCATTCTGTCCCACTTGTTTTTTGCTCTTTTTTCCTCCACGATTAGATTTTGAGCTGATTTTGGGTAATTGAGTCTACCTTGATCGACTACGGATCGGGGAAGGATCCAGGATTTTTTTCCAAAAGAGGGAAAGAGGGGAGGGGGTTACACTAACGAAACAAAAATCAGACTCGGAAATTTTTTGAGGAGCAAAACCTAAACAACGTGCCCAACTCTGAAAATCCTATTTTACGGATTTTAAGAGGGGTCCGTGTTTCCTAGGGGGCCTAAGGTCATTTTTCGTTACTTTTACATTGAAATTTAAAATTTACAAAGGGTCCGGTACCCACTCTCCCTCCCTCTAGATCCGCCCATGCAGATCTAGTTGCAGTCTGTTCCGCTTTGTTGAGTTGATGGATCGAATTACGGGCTTTTTTTTATAGGAACCAGATTGCATTTGCCGGTAGGGGACTAATATTGTTGATGCTTGTTAAATTTCAATAATGAATTTGTCTTTCCAAAAAGTGAAGTAACAAAAATTTTAATGAAAATTAACTCAGGGCTCTATTGGAGAAGAGATCGAAAATGTCAAATTTCTCCTCTTTCAGAATACAATAAAAGAGGAAGGAACGATTTAAAAATTGATATTCTTAAAACGAAAAATAATGCAGACATAAACCTGTCGCCAGAGTTCAGTCGATATGTGTTCTTGTCCATCGTGAATCAACCTATTTGGACTAGTTATTTCGTAATATATCGAACATTTATATTGAAATAAAAATTCACCAACAATATACATTGAAATTGATTATTGATAATGCCATAAAAATTCGATGTTTCTTGTTGACTTTTTTTCCATTTTCGTACTTCTCCATCCATATACATTAGAGTCTACAAGCAAAACCGTTTGTCTTAAAAAATTGTAACTTATCAACCTAAAAAGTGCTTAAATATAAATACAGCCATTGTTTGATACATGTATATTCAATAATGGTTTTCATTGCAAAATCTGTAGAAAAGTAGCATGGTTAATTCTGATATGCCTCCAGAAAAATTGCGATCATATTTTTGTTTTTGTTTGTTTGTTTTTTCTTGGCAAAATTCATAGTAAAACGATATGACCTAATTTTTTATCTGATTTATATCTCTTATGAAAAAAAATCTGAATTAATTATATATTTCAAAGGTTCTCGACTTCAAATAGCTGTTGATCAAGAGCATTTCATATCTCAGATGGAAAAAAAATATGAATTAATTATTACAGCAAAACTTGTCTAAACCGGTCATAGAAATTTGACGAATTGGCTTATGTCTTTTTTAAAAATGGTGCGTAAAGTCAAAAGTATACATGTATATGCTTTGTGTTTTAAGAGGAAAGAAATATATGGTTATATCTCTAAATGATTTTAGGTCCTCTATATTTGACAGCCTTCCATTATCTAGGAGAAACCTGATGTTACTCAAGGTTAAATAAACGACGTCAAGTACAGATAGGCAAAAGGACTTTTTGAAAGAATATAAAAGTCTTTAGAAAATATTGATATCTCTTAAAGTCCTCATCTGTTTAAAGTGAAGTGTGCCGTTTTTAAGCTGTCGGACTACGATATTGATTTAAAGGTTTGGTTAACCGACTGAAATTCATTTCCTAAATTTATAAAATAAAAATAAATTTATTGTTCACTTTCTGTGATTATTTTTCACAGTAACTGAAAAAAATATAACTGACAAAATTTAATGATTAATTAAATGTCTAATCGGAACACAACCCCACCTCCTCAAAAAAAAGATATTTGCATTGCTTTCGGTTATATTTGTGCTCTTCTGTCAGGAAATGTGTCTGAACTAACAAAACTCTGCAATATTTTGAATAACTTTGAAAAAAAAAGTAAAACTTTTAGAAGAAAGTTTGGCATCTTTACTCATCCTCCTATGGGATCAAAATGTTAAGAACCTTTTAATGGTCCGTTTTCCAGGAAAAAAAAGGTTAGACTAGTACAATATACTGACCTATCCTCTCATTTTTGATATCTTTCTTAATTTATACCTGTAATCGCTAAGTTATCTAGATTAAGCACCTAAAGAACATAACTCATTTTTTCATCCAATTAGCAATTGTTAAATATTTTATTAAGTGATGCACTTAATCGTTAAGAATTTTCTATGCTTACAGTGACGTCAAAATTTTCACTTGTCAGCTTTGATAAACAACAATGACAGAGAGAAAAAATTTGATTGGCGCAGAACTTTGGATCAGCAATGAAAAAGTGGGTGATGTTCTTTGTAAGTTAGGTCATATTTAAAAGTGAAATTTTAGCGATTTAAAAGAAGTGGTTCAGTAGCTTCGCTCCCTACGCCCCTTCTTAATCGCTTAAATTTTACTTAATAAGATCTAACTATGTTATTAGAACATAAACCACTTTCTCAGGTCATCTGAGTTACTCAGGTGACCTACTTTTTGTCTGTCGTCGTCAGTCGACCGTTAACATTTGAACATTTTCAGCTTCTTCTCAGGAACTGCTCAACCAATCTCAACCAATTTTGGTGTATAGCATCTATGAGTAAAGGGAAACAAAAATTATTATTTTCATGGTCCTTGCCCACCCCCCTCCACTGGGGCCTGAGTAGTGGGACTAGAAACATCCGCAAAATCAATGGAATCTTTTTTAAAAAAATCTTTTTTTTTTCTTCCGGACATCAAGCATTCAAACTGTTGGCATGATTGTAATAAGCATTGAGCCCTGTACTAAAATTGTGAAATTCATGTCCCCAGGGGTTCTAGGGTTAGGCTGGGGCTATAATGACATAACGTGAAAACTCTTTAAAAATTTTCTTTTCCCCTGTATATAAAGCAGTTAAATTATGGGCATGGTTATTATGATCAAGGGTGCCTCTTCCAAAATTGTGTAATTTGTGGCCCCAGGGTCAGGGGTTCTGTGAGGGCGGAGGGGTCTCTCTTGATTACACTTGTGAAAGTGCATTATTCCTTTGAAAATCTTCTCTGCTCCTGGGTATTAAGCAGATAAACTAAGTGCATGGTTATGATGATCAAGAGTGCCAAAATTTTGAAATTTACCCCCCCCCCCCCCGGGGTGTCTGTTGAATTCATGTATATTGTGAAATTGTATTATTTCTTTGAAAATCTTTTCTGATCCTAGTTATTTGGCAGACAGACTAATTGCATGGTTGTGATCAGCAAGGATGCCTTTTCAGAAAGTTTGAAATTCATAACCCCAAGAGCAGGATGTTTGGTTTTACGGCGGAACTCTTTTGAATATATAATGAAAATGCATTATTTATCTGAAAATATCCTTCTCTGCACATGTTCCTAAGTATTTACATGTAGCAAACATACTAAGTGCATGATTATGATGAGCAAGGGTGTCTCTTCCAAAATTGTGCATTTCTTGGCAATAGGGTCAGAGGTTCTGTTGTTCAGTGTGGCGCTGTGTTGAATCTATAGTAAAAATGCATTATTTCTTTGAAAATCATCTTCTCTGCTCCTGTGCATCTAGGAAGCAAGCAGAGTATATAAAGTTGTTATAAGTAAAGGTATTTTACCAGATGTTTTAAATTCTGCACCACTTTGTCAATTTTGCTCAGTCGGTAGAGCGCTCGCTCCGTGATCGGGAGGTCGTGTGTTCGCGACTGACCTAAGTCGATAAAAAATGGGTAGCAACTGTTCCTTCGCCATGCTCTCGGCACTTTGAAGGTAAAGTTGCGGGTCCTTCGAATGAGACCTTAAAAACCGAGGTCCCATGTCACGGCAGGCGTTGGCACGATAAAGATCCCTCACTGCTCGATGGCCCTAGCTGAGTGCCGAGTAAAGGTCCAGATTTGAAGCCCTTCACCAGTATATGGTAACGTCTCTATATGAGTGAAAAATTCTCGAATGGAACGTAAAACAACATACAACCAATCAATCAATCTATTGAAAGAAGCTATTCCTATTTGCTATATTCACCTATGATAATTAAGAACAGGTCCACCTAAGAATCAGGCAAAATCATCGTGATAAGTCAAGGTTTGAAAATTGACATATTTTTGCATCAAGACATATGTATCACATGTTCAGTGATTTAGAAATGCTTAGGCCTGTTTAAATTTAATAGGCTATTGATTGAAAAAAATATAATGAACATGATCAGTGGTATAAATTTCTACCATGATATGGATATTGAAACTTAAACAAATACAAAACAGCAAACGTTCTGAAAAAAGATATAATAGACTATAAATCAGCTATTTATATACATACTATCATTTTAAATTTAAAAAAAAAAGTTTGGAAAATTGCGATCCTAACATTTACCATCCCGGTGATTACTTCTAATATTAGCGAATTTATCTTTCTTTATATAAATGTCTTACTTTGCCTCTTAATTGTTGGTCCTTCATTGATAAGAAAAATAGAATCAATTCGTTAAAGATCGAACTTCAAAAGCTTTGATAAACAAAAACAAAAAAAAAGATTTGGCACAGAACTTTGGAGCAGCCAATGAAGTGAGTTGGATCGTATTCAGTAAAATTTTAGCGGTTAAGACATGGCTCGGTCGCTTCTCTCCCTCCGCTCCTTCTTAATCTCTAAAATTTTATCTGATATGATCTAACTTTTACATGTACTAAAAGCCATAGCTACTTACTAAATAATTCGGATTTCACTTCTCCGTACGTGTTGGTTTAAATTTAGTACGAAGCACCTGCTTCCGATGTTAATTCATTAAAAAAAGTTCTCCGTAAGTTTTTTAACTTCATTTGTCTAAATTAAAAGTCATGGTAGAATCCAGACTATGACAAAATGGAAGACGACTTCAATCCACCAACAGTTTGCCCAGGAGGCAGATGCAGGGATCTAACCAATGATTTTATTTATTTCGTGATCGTCCCTATCCTGATCGTTCTCATCATAACTGTTGTCCTCGCTGTTATGTTGTTTCGGAGGAAGACAAAAAGGTTTGGAGATTTTCCCTAATTAATTTAGAGTTTTTAGAAAGAATAAAAGAATTAAGAAGTTAATTACCTCTTGAAGCTACATTTAAGGTGTGAATTTAATAGCTATCCAAGTTATACTGGTGTAACCTGGGTTGGGGTAGTTAGAATAATCTAACTTTGTCTTGGAACAAGCCCTCACCACAGTTAGAATACGTCCCATATACTTGCAATGTAGCAAATCGGAGTGGATCCACTCCGAAATTATTTTGAAGAATACAGAAGGAGTTGCACTGAAAATAACTACCAAATTAATCATAACAAACCTTTTTGAGATTGTATAAGCATTTCAACCTAAAAAATAATCCATATAAATACAAAAATTCAACTCATTTTCTCAACGTTTTTTCCTCGCTTCAAATTTAACGTCATGTTGACATTCAGAACTCTCTGGGTTGTTTATAGAAAATGCACAGAGTTCGAGTTATCGCCCTGTTTATTTTGCAACATTGCCAATACACGGAATGAATTCTATCATTAAACCGGGTCCGTAGGCCAATATCATTTTATCGATAGAACGTTCTATCTAGGGTTTGGGCAGTTTAAGCTTTATAAACTGCGAAGCGGTTTATAAAAAAGCATAACACAGTTAGATTATTCTAACTAATGAACACTAAGCCTTGCAAATTAAAATTAAATTTTTTACACAAGCATAATCAAACATAGTTTTATTATAGTGACAATGCAGAATGAACTTGTGTGAGATCTACACTGGAAAATTCATGTCTGATTTCTGAGGCAAGGTTCATGGTTTTCTTAATTTTTTCTTGTCTTTTGAAATTGAAGAAAAATATAATGTACATCCAAATGAAGTAAACAGAAGGTTTCTAACTCCTAACTTCTTTTTTAGTCAAGATTCTTGTGTATATTAATAGAATGATTTACTTGAGAAAAAACCTGTATTTTGATACGATTAACTGATTAATCGGTTGGAACATCTTGCGATTAACCGATTAGCAATTCTGTAATCGATTGCCATCCCTAATATATATATATATATATATATATATATATATATATATATATATATATATATATATATATATATATATATATATATTATATATATATATATATATAATTTCAAAAACAAAATGAAGAACCGGTGCAGTTTTATTGGGTCAGGGTGTATTAAAAATAAAAATCAAAAAAAATCACAAAATATTTTCTGCAAGCGCTTTCGGGTCATGTTAGGCTCTTCAGGCAGTTATACAAATGCCAGGTAGGTTACCTGGTAATGTCCAAAAGCGAAAGTTCATTGTGACGTCATAATGGATCAAGGTAGCGTAAAGTTGCCGTATTAGATAATGTACAAATATTGCATTAACTTGAACACATATTATACATAAAATTTGACAATATGTTATAAAACAAAATATCATTTTCGATTAAGCTTTGGTTTAAAGAGTTTGATAAAGTAGTCCTTTTTTGCCAAATGCAGATTTTCATTTTCATTGGGAAGTTTATAAAAAGGGAAATCCTAAATATTCTTTTGCCGCATTTTGCAAAATGCTCACAACATGCACACTTTGGCCTTTAATTTGTTGTTTGTGTATACAAACCCATAAATCAATTTGGTTGTCAGTAACTTTTTCTAAAGCTTTTTTTAAAATCAATTGTGTTAAGTGTGGTCAATAGTCAGGGCTCTCACACCACTTTTTGGGACTGGGACTGGCCATGAATATTGGGAAAATTAGCAACCTTTTGGGTAATTTGGGAAAATCATATCTAGACATTATACATCAAATTCATGATATATTGAGTTTCTGGTGGTTGTTATCAACTAAATTTCAGTTTTGTAATGCAGAGAAATATGAATTACAAGTTCAGAAACTATATATCTTACTAAATGTTCTTTAATATTTTGGGAAGTGAAAGATTGGGAAAATTAACACCTTCAATTGGGAAAAAAGGTGCCTTTTTGGAATTGGGAATGGGGCCTTTGAATGGCCCCAGATATAGAGAATCGAGAGCCCTTTTAGTGAAGGATTTATTCACACATCAATCTGTCAGCAGTGGAATGTCATTCTTGTGGATGTTTTAGCTTTTGGGCCTCTTTGTTTAAATTTATAATTGCTGAAACCTGGAGACTGCTTTTTTAGATGAAATTGTTATATGTTTCAAAATGCATTTGTGTGTAATATGAAAATATGACATTGCTTTGTGATTCACATGCAGTCTGATCATACTGATTATGTATACAGTGGAAGTGAGAGAAAAAAATCCTGATTTTTTGGTAACTTTTTTTTTGTGTGTTTCTTTCCAGGGTTGAATCTCCAGAAGAAAATGGGTAAGTATTCCAGCATAAAATTCTTACTTCAAGACTCAAGTAAACATTATTTGCCACAAAAATAAAATATACTGTTAGTAGATTGAAACTAAAAGATGCTTAAAGTTTGGAGTCAGAAAAAGATGGTTCATTCACATTTTCATTTGTCATATATGGGAAAGAGCCATTAAATAAGTGCTGTAGTATCATTTTATAAATATTTTTCCCTAATTCATAAATAGTGTTCAGCTAGCCAGATACAACTCCATTCGCCGAGCTTCACAGAATATCCGGGAACTGTCCAATCACAGGGATTCAATGCTGTCAACAAGTAGAAGTGGATCAATGTCATTCATGGATGCAGAGAGGCCTCAGAGAGGGGCTCGGCCATCCAGAAATTCTACCTACTCTGCACCCTCCACCCTTCAGAGGTAAATCAATTTTCTAACTAGAGGATAATCACATTAAATTTTTTTGCAATTACTGTAAATTAGCAGCTTTTATAATATTTATTCTTTTGGATCAACCATAACTTTTTTAAAGGACTAGCTGAGGAAAATGTAGAAAGTAGGTGCTGGCTTATTTTGAAAAGCTCTTATGAAAAAAAAAATAAGCAGAATCTTTCTTTCTGTGAATTATAATTTATTGTGAACTTAAAAAAATGAAAATGAATTAAAATGTTCAGTTACTTACTTGAAATAATGTGAATTGTATGAATTTCTTTTTTAAATAAAAAAGTAAAATTTATTCAGATTGAATGATAGTTTTTTTGATTTTTTTTTTTTTTTTGAAAGAGATTGAACATATTAAGTTGTAATAATTTTTTTGGATAAACTAGTGCTTAGTTTCTAGTAAGTTTAATTACCATATTCTTTATTTATTTTTATATAATGTAATTAGATATTATTTTCTAAAAGCTTAATAAGGTTCATTGCCCCTCTGATTAGAGAGAGATCTCTAACTGGATTAAAGAATAGTATTCCCTAAAAAAATGACAAGTTAAAAGGCCATTTCTGTCAAATTTTGCAGTACAAGGTATGCTGATATTTGCATTTGAATTATAAGATTTCTTTTGGCAAATTAATATCCTTAAAGGAATACAGGCAAACCTCATTATCTCAAACTCGAAGGGACTGAGCAGAAAGTTCCATATAGCCAAGGGTTCAAGATATTAAGGGTAAAGGGTTAAAGAAAAAGTGCTTGAGACTTCCACATCGTTTCAGCATATTCATGGTTTTTGAGATATCCCTGTTCAAGATACTGAAGTTCAGCTGTATATTTTTAATGAGAGAACAGAGAGATTATGAACCTATAAAGGGCAGAAAATGGTTATTGTTTGACATAGTTCTTTGTTAGAAAGATTGATTGATATATCAATTCTTCCAGAGAAAGGAGACACACAACCTCTGATGAAAGGACATCCCCACCCACCTATACTGAACTGTTCTCTACCTGTGGTCACCCCCCAAGGGACAGTCACTCTGATAGGTAAGAATACTATTTATAGTGTGTCTTAATTTCTTTGAGAGCTCATTTGTACTAGAGGTCTCTTTGTATCATATCAGTTTCATGGTGTACTAGTACAGACTTGTACATTTGTATCACAATTTTATTTATTTTATTTCTCTGCTTTTTGACCCTTCTGACTTATGGCTGTGAAATCCACAGTAAATTTGTGAAAATTTGATCTTAGAATTTTGCAGATCTAGAGCCTTTGAGTTCCCATTTGTGACATTTGGTACAAAATACAGAATACATTTATAGAATTTTAATCTTCGAACTTTGCAGATCTAGTCTTCGAGTTCCATTGGTTTATTATCAACACAGTGGAGAGGAAAGAGCAATAATCCATAATTCGTAAAAGGGATATGTAAATAAATTAAAAGAAAAAATCTGGATTCTACCATAGAATACAAAGGAAGAGTTTAACTTTGTATTCTGAAATAAGACGATGTCAAGAAATTTATCTCCACTTTCAAGACAGTACTGAAATTCAGTTATTTCATGCATGTTACTGATAATAGAGAAAGATTTGTTATACATATATAATTACGATTTGTTATACATATATTACTTAGAAATGAAATTAGAATTATTATTTGGTTGTCTAATGATGTATATTAAACCCGTGTGTTTCAGTGATAGCATTTATATAATACTCATAGCACAAGGTCAAGAAAGTATTTGTGACTTTTACAAATTCTTGAAAGTATTTGTTACTATGGAAATATATGTGCCTCGTTTACATGGTCAACCAGTTTTGAGATTTACAAAAAAGACAATATACATAGTATACCGTGATATTTATATAATGTTGTATACACAAATTGTTTAACAATGGTGCTCTTATGAAACAATACTCAGTATTTTTTGTGATTTCAGACTTACTTCTACTTCATATTATTGTTTTTATAAATGATTTTTTTTTGTTCAATATAATAATTGTATATTCTTGCTGTTATGTTAAATTTTGTATGAATCGTTTAGCTGTTAATCTCTACAATGAATAAATTGTACAGCATTTTTATGTACTAGATAAATGTTTCATGAAAATATCAAGCCTTTTTTTTCATTTATTTTATTTTGTTTTAATATCAAGTTTTCTTTTGATGTTTTGATCATTTGATACAATATATATTCTTTTAATTTATGGTATAAACAGTTCAGAGAAGCTGTATTACTATCGAATATTAAGCAGAGATATATCTTCAGCAGAGCCTTTAAAGGCAGAGATTTTTTACCGGGTGGTAAATTCCAGGTGAGGGAGGGGCTTATTTTGTACAGGTGTGAATGCCTTGAGGGCTAGTAGACTACCTGTGGTCGTCTGTCTCCTAATCCCTATACACAGGAAGTGATTTAATACACAGTGGAGTACCTAAGAAGTCAAACTTTACCTATGTTGGGATTTTAGATGATTTTAAGTTAGAAATAAAAAGTTGTAAATAAAGTTTAATCTAAATAATTTTTATTAATTGTAATTGAATGTGTGTCAAAGCATCCCCACCCACTAAAAAAAAAATAATTATCAAAATATTTGTTGAGCTTTGAAAAAAAAGTTATATCAAATTTTGATATATATTATCATAAAGAATATCATAATTATTTTAAATACTAAAGGTGTGTATATATATTATCAAGCTAAATATTCTATAGTAATACAGCTTCTCTATTGTTTATACCATGTGTGGTAAATATCAAAGGATCAAATGTTAATTTGAAGGTCACCACGAGTGCCAAACAAGGTGTACAGGGTATACACAGGGACTAGTAAGTAAATGTCAATCAATTTCTAGCACCCAATGATGTACCTTAATGCACTTGATTGACAGGGGTACACAGACCAGGTATTTTGGAAGGCGGTGCTTAAAATCTCTGCCTTTAAGCAATACATGTACTTGTCTACTAATGGTCCCAGTAGGTTTATAGATAAACAGAGTGGGAAACGGTGTTTCTTTTAGGTATTCTGATCAATATTTATTAGAATTGACTAAACTTTAAATGCATTAGTAAACACTGGTAAAGGGATATACACTCATTTTTATCACATACAATGTAATCAGTTTGCCAATTCGACAAGCGATGAACGACAACTCTTCAACTTCGACAGTTTTATTATTTTATTTTATCACATCTGAATCCACATTAAACATCATTAAGCTTTCACATACTTTTTAAGTGTTTTAACTACTGTTTTTGCAAAGAAATTCATTTTTAAAGTAAGCATGGTAGGCACTCAACACTCAACTGAGCTGTAACTGTTTAAAAAATGGCCTCTGCGGAGTCGATGAAATTAATCGCGTATGTCAAAAATGAGCTTCAGTACAAAAATCGATAAAGAGCCCACATGAAGATATAATTTCGATATTTGGACAGACTGGTCTACGCGTTGTACTGTGTTCAGATGGAGTAAGCTATTCAAAATTGGAAAAGGAGAGTCCAAAGATCGCAATCGAACTTGTCGATTCAAAACACCAAAAATATTGATGCTGTGAGCAAATCAATAGACATCTGACAATGCCAGATTTACATTGCTAAGGTACTTAACATTTCATCGCCACAACACATTATAAAGATTTTACAAAGAAAATGAATTAAACTAAAAAAAATATTTTTGTCAGATGGATGCCTTGATTTCGTACAGATGCCTAAAAGAAGACACGAATGTTAAGGATATACATGTATATTTGATTAATAACATTTCAACAGAAGGTATGATAAACTTGGGTATTGGGTGACGAAACATGGTAATTTTTTATAGTCCATAAAGAAGATCAATAATAAAACGAGGAATTAGAGAGGAAGCTGTCATCCTATTATTGCAAAGAGAGACAACAGGTCTTGCCCACGCTTTCTTTTCTTCGAAAGGTCCAGAAATACATGTACCTACACCCAAAGGAAGGACCATCAATGGTTAGCTTTTATGTTAGAATTGTATTGAGGAAAGTTTTTTCTGTAAGGAAAGTCCAATTACCGGTCCCTAGGGTGCTTTCTTGTACCTGACAACGCCGCTGCAAATACGCATTAAAAGATGTATAGGAAATTTCGTAAAAGGCATATTTACAGAGCTTATCTTATCTCCCATATTCACTTAATCTCAGTCATTGTAACATATTTCTATTCCAAAAACTCAAGTAAAAATCAAGGAGGATTCCTACAATTCTTGATCTGTCCTGGATCTATCCATCATGCAGTGTCTTTTGAGCTAACACCCCACCCCCCAAAAAAAGTATGCTTAGGTGTTCTGGTCATGGGAGCAGAGACTTTAGACTTGTGTAAAGGTTAACAGAGAATACTTTGAGGGATTAAAATATAAAGATACTGCTCTTCGTCATTTTTTTATTGATGACCTTTAGCAATATTTATTGAACGCCTATCGTATATACATGATTACCGTACGTAAAACCGTCTTTTGACGCATCACAAATTTAGCGGAATAGTATCTACAATTAAGGCATGCTATTATATTGACGGATACAATTATAATGAGTTCTGTTTAGTAGAAAAACAAAGATTTAACAATTAGTATGAAAATCGTCAGCTAAAATAAGACACAATGATAGATTATATTTGCAAACAAGGTTATTATGACGACTTTAGAATTTACGAAATACTGACTTAAAACGAAGTTGTTGAAATCTCTGTACCATCAACCTATCTGTCAGTAGCCTGTTTAAAAATTGATCGTACTCAGAACATGGTCTTGAGTATCGAATAAGTTGGGAGGCGTAAACCTTATATGCAGATGATAGCGGAATATTACTACATAAGTAAGGAAAGTTGAAGATGGAAAAGCTGAATTTTAAGTCATCTCGTTGTCGTACAATTTAGTTGAAGTTGACCTTATCGTCTATAGTCTGTAAAATATCCAAATATCAAACAGAATCTGTGATGTCTTTTATTTTGACTTCACTGGGATATACATGTATCAAGTCGACATAAGAAAGGAAATAACTACTAGTATTATTAATTGATAAAACGTCCTCAACATATCTTAATGTCGAGTTAAAGGCCACAGCAAGTGTTGTCTTCTTCTCATGTAGAAGGATTTGAATAAATTCAGGGGCCCATTTTACAAAAGAACTTACGACTAAGACCAAAAACTTTAGTTGATTGTAAAATTTTGCAAAATTAATGATTCTGTTTGAAATTCCTAGCATATAAATATCTTGTTAAATTCTGTTTAAAAAGATTGAATTTCTTTTGAAATTAATGTAAAAAAGAAAGTAGTCAGCATAATTTAATTTTGGTCTTAGTCGTAAGCTCTTTTGTAAAATGGGCCCCAGCTTCATCAGAATATAAAAACAGGTCGGCTAATAAAAGATCACAATTAGCGCCCAACAAAATTCTAAGTTTGTTGGAAGCCTGGTCTCCAAAGACAACATAAATTTTGGCAATGAAGAACTCCAGCATCTTTTTATCAACTCAGAGTACTTTTTTGTAGAATCAGGGTGATTTTTAACAAAGTAATTTTGTTGATGACCAATCACAAGAAACAAAAATTTCCCGGTTCCATTTTTATTTAAGAAGCAGTTGTCTGTGACATCAAAAAACCTAGTTTTTAATTTATCGTAAGGGATGGTTGTACAAAGTGTAGAAAAGTAGTGTCTTTTGGTGTAACTGACTTCTTAAGTTCTTTGGAGTTTTTGAGATTCTACATCTCATTTACACCACTGCTAGAATATGCTGTAGCACAGTACATCCGAAGTTTCTCCTTTACAGCACTTAATATTTTTATGAAGGGTAAAGATAAGGGTTTGGTAGAGCATTTGCTGGACAGACAGTGTTAAGGTCACTCATGCAGTAGAGTTGCTTTCAAAATAATAACCCCTACCGAAATTCTGAAATTCCCAGGATTAGGATAATGTGATCTTGAAAATGTATCATATTTATCCTACGGATAGGTAGGAGGCAAAATTTTTCTTTTTGCGTAATTCTGATGAGCAGTTAGCCATGTGCAAAACATGGAAAATCATGGTCTCTAGGTCTGTGATTAAGGTCTGAAGGTGGTGGGTTGTTGGCATTTACTGGAATTTAATGACAATTTTTTATTGTGTTTATTTTTTACATTCATAAAAAATCAAAGAAAAGATAAAAACATATCTTTAATAGATAAAATTGAAAAAGAGAAGGATTTTAATAAAACTGTCAATAATTTAGTACTAAATTATTCAGATAAATTATTATTAATTAAAGAATATTTCTAAGCATGAATAGAAGTTTTTTCATCATATAACTTGAATCTTTAAAAAAAAAAATGTGTTGCATTCCTGAACATAGAAAAATAGATCTGAAACACAGACAGACCCCACCAAATAAATCTATTTCGTAAAAATGTTCTTTGTGTCTTTATGTTCCAAAATAAAAATCAGAGAATCATATACTGATAAAAGTTTTTTTTCATGATGGGGAGCAAAACATCCTGCACTCCTGGCATTATTGGGTTTGTACAGATACTTGACTCTCATTAATGCTGCTTGTGATTTATATAACATTTTTAAGTTTTAAATTGTATATCACTTATTGTTTTACACTTTGAAAATTCGTTTTTTTTTTTACTTAATTGTCTTTCAGATTTTTAAAATCGATGTTTTTGGCAACACTGAATTATTTCTGTTGCACTCCCAACATGGTGTAACATTTTTTTTTTAAACATCAGCCATGACAACAACTTGGTCAAACAAAAGTTGCTACAGTCTACATTTAAAGCCAAAACTTTGAATGTTATCAGGAAAGTCTTTATTTTAGGGATGGCAATTTGTAACCGGTTAATCGATTAATCGGTCGGAACCATGGTAATCGGTTAGAAAATCTGCAATCGGTTAATTGGAAAATTTAAGATATGTAAAATTGAACGCAATTTTCTTAAATTTCGTTTTGAAGAAAGGGAATCTCTGCATAAAAGTTGATTGTTCAGCGTTTTTACACATCTTATTAAGCTGATTTGGAGGTAATTATGGCTCTCCGGATTGAGATCGCGAGGTAATAATTGATCAGTTTGTGAAGTATTAATTACTGTTTTTAAAAACATTATATTGGTACCCTGACCCTCCCGTAATACTTTTGATTTTACATAATCTCCATTGAGCAGTTTTAATGAGTATGTATACGTATCGATCTTTTGCCTTTCTCTATTATATTATTAGAAAAACATTGTATAAGTTAAAGTTCGGACAAAGTTTTGATTACTGTGACAATGAAGAATGAATTTGTGCGACATATGCACTGGAAAGATATCTTTCTGTGCCTGATTTCTCATGCAAGATTCATGGTTTTCTTATTTTTTTCTTGTCTAACTATTGAAATTGAAATAAAATAATTTATATGTACATATAGTTTCCTGATCAAGATAATGAACAGAATGTTTCTAACTTCAAACCACGTCTCTCTTTCAGTCTTCTTGTGTATATAAATACAAATACATTAAAAAAAATCAAAAAATGTGTATTTTGATACGATGCGACTAACCGGTTAATCGGTCGGAACGTTTTGCGGTTAACCGATTAGCAATTCTGTATTCGATTGCCATCCCTACTTTATTTCCAACATAAACCATTATTATTTACCTCACAGATCTTTAAAAATATTAAATTTTCAAAATGGCACAATAAAGATTTGCACTCCCGACATTTTAGCATCATTTTTGGGGCATAACTTTTTGTGAATTGAGATAATTATCAAGGAGATTTTGGCAGGTATTTAGACATTATCTAAAGACATATGCTGAGACAATAAATACAGGCAATGGGAATAAATTTCTGTATCTCTCATATAGAAATTTATTCCCATTGCCTGTATTTATTGTGCAGGTTGATATATACGAGTTTGGTAATTTTTTTGGAATTCACCTTTCTGTGGTATTTTTACGTAGTTAGTGTAATCTGCCCTTAGATCTTAAGTAAAATAAATTGAAATCTGCAGTTTATAAATCAATTTTTAACCAATTCAAGCATTCTTAATATTTTGATAGGCCAAGATAAATTAATTGAACACTTCATTTTCCCAACTTAGGTAAACAACAGTGATTTCTGTTCATCAAAATTGTTGTCGTTGAACATATTACCTTGGGGTAAAAGCCAGGCACCCTATATTGAAAATGATATAAATAAGCTCAGTATTAACACCTTTATACAGTATAATTTTCATAATGTCCAAAAACATTTCGGTTTAGTGTAGAGAGGATCCTTAAGTGACAGAAATTGGTGAGCATAAATATACAGTAATACTTCATCCATACTGGTTCATATCCCCTTACCGCTGGGAACTTAAGGTCTGATGACACGTCCCTCAAACATGTTTTGTTTCTCTTCGTATTATACAACAAAGTAATCATAATTATCACTATCTTGTGATTTCTAGACCGTTTTTCTAAAAGTATTTGAAATTACTACATGAACAATATTGTGAAATTGGCAATTAATGCTAGTGATTTCCTACAAGAAAAAACATCCTCTAGCTGGTATCTTGCATGAATGCCGGGTGTGGTACTTTTTTAAGGAAACTTGTTATAGTAGCAATATTTCATTGACAAATTCTTGGGAGAAATAATATGCATGTATTATTGAGAAACGTGGCGTCGGACCTTAATAGAAAAAGATGCTTACAGAAAAAATTAAACAACACAACTTATAACCAAGCTAAAACATTCCGGTCCTTAATAAAGGATTGAGGACTTGATACAGGGCTTGTAAGTGGAACTTCAAAAAATTAAAACCAGAAGTCTCTGACGAGACTGTAGCTCTACTGGTTGTATTTATAAAGGAAGATAAAAGTAGCACTTGGACTTGAAACTTTGCAACAGCAATAAATAGAATAATGATCCTTGGTTTAGTCTCTTTTGTGGCAAGATTTATTATTATATCAGACTAAAACTGTAGGAGGAGTAGCCTTTTAAAACAATTTTACAGAAATTTTGATTTAAGTAACCATGGCAACATCATTCAACAAAATCAAAAAACAATAACACCAATTATGTATCTTTGTAGTCTACTTGTATACCACATTATACTGAAATCAGACAAAAAAGTGCAGGAGGAGTAGGAGGATTTTCAAGAAAATTTCTATTTTTAGTAACCATGGCAACACTGTTCATCGAAATCCGAAACTGGTACAGAGAATTATGTATCTTAGTGTAGTCTACTTGTGTGCCTAGTACTACTAAAATCAGACCAAAACTGTAGGGGTAGCATTTTGAAGGTATTTCAAGGAAATTTCTATTTTTAGTAACCATGGCAACAATGTTCATCGAAATCATAAAATCAAAAAGAATTATGTATCTTAGTGTAGTCTACTTGTTTGCCAAGTTATACTGAAATCAGACCAAAACTGTAAGAGGAGTAGCATTTTGAAAGTATTTCAAAGAAATTTCTATTTTTAGTAACCATAGCAACATTGTTCACTGAAATCAAAAACCGATAAACAGAATTATATATCTTATTATAGTCTACTTGTGTGCCAAGTTATATTGAAATCAGATAAAAACTGTAGGAGGAGTAGCATTTTGAAAGTATTTCACAGAAATTTCTATTTTTAGTAACCATGGCAACACCGTTCATCGAAATCAAAAACCGGTATATAGAATTATGCATCTTAGTATAGTCTACTTGTGTGCCAAGTTATATTGAAATCAGATAAAAACTGTAGGAGGAGTAGCATTTTGAAAGTATTTCACAGAAATTTCTACTTTTAGTAACCATGGCAACACCATTCATCGAAATCAAAAACCGATACATAGAATTATGTATCTTAGTATAGTCTACTTGTGTGCCAAGTTATTGAAATCAGATCAAAACTGTAGGAGGAGTAGCATTTTGAAAAATTGTTTACGGACGGACGGACAGACAGACAGACGGACCTTACTATCGCATAAGCTCTTCTGGTCTCTGACCAGTAGAGCTAAAAAATAAGTAGTTTTCCGTACCATTCACGATAAAATGAGTGAAGTCATTTTCATCTCCCTTCGACAATATATATTAAATATTCTGATGTAATTCAGATACATTGCTAGACCAAATTGTGCGTAGTTTAAGACTAATAACTACAAGCCACAAAGAAGGAAAATGTATATTTTAATAATAACAAAACATCTAAGCTTGTCTATAGCTTTTTATTTAAACTACAGTTTCATGTCAAAGAATTATCAAAAATTATGTACTGATAAAGAAAAACACTTAATTGCTTCTATAACTCTAGTGCTCATCAATGATAAATTAAGTGTCAAGTAAAATGTGAAAATCATCGATTACATCTTTTTATATATAATTTTTTATTGCCTAGAACAAAAACAGTAATGAATACATTCATTATATGAAAAAGGAAACTAGCTTAAAGTAACAAATATATATGTATTCTGTACACAATTTAACAAGGAATGTTAGTTTTGTGTCTTTAAATATCACAATTATGCTTTTTATGCTGTCGTTAATACACAGTTTGAGGTACATATTTATACACATACAATTCTTCCAACATGACAAATCTTGAACGTACAGAAGAATTGGCCAGTTCAACGAACACTACACAGGATTAACAGTAATATATGTTTGAAAAATGTTTACCATAAAAACGAGCTACTTATAAATCATATGTTCAACTAAATTATGTTAAAAAATATTTTTACTAATAAAAAGAGCAACCAATATAAATATATATTTTTAAATATGCTGATACATCTGTGTTTAGAATATATTGCATATGACTATTTCATTTTCGTAAAAAAGTGAAATCCGACATATTTTAAAACCATGTTCATTCGAATGACGAATATATGTAATACATAATAGATATACTGCACCAAGTTTATATGCTGAACATACAGTGTATATTAATATAATTATATTATGTTGCTCGTTTTGTGTGATAAACATACGTTAAAATGATATTCTAATACCGGTATGCAATTTCAAGATTCTTCCTGATTAAAAACAAATTAAAAGTCATCCAGAAACAGGACAACGATATAAAAAGCATGTCTGTAAATTTCGTATTTGCCATACTTGTATTATATACCACTTCTGAACTGTAAACTTTCTTAAAGATGATACAATTTAGCAAATGGTCACTTTAAACCAATGGGATCAAAGTCTACTTTGGTAAATCATTTCTCTACTAATTTTTGTATTTCAGTTTGATCAAAATTGAAACACACGTACACACACACCTAAAAGAAAAATAAAATGTTAGGCATTACAAATACACATTATTTAAGGACATACGCAACGTACCTTACCTACGGGTAATTTTTCAAGATATTCTTAATTTAAGATTTTAGTGCCATCAGATGTTCGTAGACAAAAAATCAGCATACATTACCAGGGGTCTTGAAAAGATATCAATTAATGAAAATTCTTGTATGATTCAAAGAAAAATACACAAAAAATTACTAAACATATATTCTAGATGTTTTGTTTATCCAAACTTGTTTTAGAAGAAGTGTACAGCAGCATATATAGACATTAAAATGTAGCACACAGTTCCTTTAAGTATTGGAAATCTTCAACTCCAGGGAAAAAGACAATGAAGTTCAAACTACGTTGCGTATGTCCTTAAAATGAATAATGTAGATTTTTAAGAAGTTTTTTTTTAATTCCTGCAATAACTTATGATAAGTTGTAAAATAAGACTAATATTTTTGACAAGATGAAACATGTAGCATGCACCTTCTATGCGTATAGTTTTATTATAACATGATACTAGTAAACAGTTAGAAAAAATATATGATTATTAATTATCAAAAACTACATTTTTATTTTTCTGATTATACTCTTTTTACATGAATATTAACAAATGAGGTAATCAAGTATTTAAAAAAATGAACAAAATGGAATGTAGGTATTTCTATTTAAGTTTTTTTTCTTTCGCTCAGAAGACACATTTCACTTAAACTTTTTTACAAGTATCCTTAAATATGACAAAGTAAACCTTATATTAACTGACCATTGATTTCAGTTCATGGTCAATTAACTCTCTGTTCCTTTCTTGACCAAGGAATAGAAATATTTACCTTACTTTCTGTGTCCAGCTTACAGGTCAAATACTTCAGATATACAAAACACATCTACATTTAAACCTAACACACACACACACAAAGCACCAACGGATGAGATGCAGTCTAACCAATTTCTTAATAAAGCCATCAGAACATTTTTAATATGATGGCCTTATTATGACTGAGTTTATGGATCGTTTTTCTCTTTGCTTAAAAATGATCCATTAACAAGTTTATTTATGTTGATACTGGCAAGACACATTCTTAATAATGCATTACGTTTACATATTCTACCATACCATAGAATATGCTAACACTAGCATACGATGGAATTGCTCACAGTAGTATATCATGGAATATGCTAACACAAGCATACCATAGTATATGGTATCACTAGCATACCAGCGTATATGCTAGCATGTCATGGATTATCCTGACACTGGCGTATCATGGATTATCCTGACACTAGCATATCATGGAATATAAAAATCTTGAAAACAAATATAAAACTTTACCACTTCCAGCATATCACAACGCAGTAAAAAAAAACTTTCTTATGCCAATAATACAAAACACTACAGAAACGAAGCTTATGGTGAATGAAATTCATACATACCAGATATAAAGTCTATTAATAACATTGATTGGTCCAGTTTGGGAGACCATAAAGTTATTCAACAAGATATCAATGCAATAGGATAAGCATTCAGGAACAAAGCAAACAATAAAGATAATCTTAAAAATTAAATTGCATGCCTTTCTCTTTTTACAGGAATGTTACAATAAATTGTAAAAAATAAAACTTTAGTTTTCCCCTTCTATAACTCAATCATAATACAGTCCTGTATTATTGGTGTCAATATTTTCTTTACACGGAATGCTTGGGTTGAGAATTTTTGAGCAGTTCTTTGTTGTTCTTTAGATGGAATTTTGGGGTGGAGAATATTTTAGCAGTGTCTTGTGCTGTCCTGTGTGTCCAACTAGTATAACTTCCGTTTCTCTGTGGTATTTGACCAGTTTCTGAACATCCATAAAGGACTGAAACGAATGTGTACGTCATGAAGTCACTCTTTTTTATATTAAGTCAGTTCTTTGTGCTTTAACTAAATTTTGAACAAAATGCAAAGAAAATCTTCAAAATCTTGTAATAAGGTATTTCATAAATCAATTTGAAAAAATTGAAATATTTATATTGACTCTTCATTTCAATTACTAAGCTTACCATTTATTTTCATTATTCTGAATAAAAAGACACTACCCACCATTTCGTCCGGTTTTTCCTCTCCCAGAGCCATTTTGCCATCAGCTCGTACTCTTATTTTCAGATTATAGACATTGTTTTGAAATAAGACCATCATGGTATAAGGCTGGAAATTCCCTTGTTTAGTGCTTTCTCGTATTAAAAACGTTCCATCCTAAAAATAAATTGCTCCATTAATAAGTCTATTCCATGGAAGTGAACTGTAACGATTTTAAAACTAATTATTAATAATTTTCTTTGATTTAAATTTGAAAATCATCTTAGGTATTTAGCTGAGTTACTTTAGCCCTTAAAAACATATATATCTGGTTTCCTTTTAAAAGATTCTCATTAAAATTTCCTACCTTCCCAACTTTCTTTAATAGCTTATCGCCGGTTTTTCTATCCTTCAATGTTTTGAAATACCAAGGTTCGCCTAACAAGGGATCTCGATTCTACACAAAAAATTAATACTAAGAAAGAAAGAAAGAAAGAAACATACAAACAAACAACAACAAGAGACAAATACTTCACTTAGAAATGATTTTCAACGCACATTAAACATTCTTTTTCAAGCAGGAAGACCAATATTTATCTTGGACTTGAATTTGAACATCATATCTTTAACTTTATTTTTGTTGTTGTTGTTGTTGTTTTTTTTGGGGGGGGGTTGTTTTTTGTTTTGTTTTGTTTTGGGTTTTTTTTTTTTTTGTTTGTTTTGTTTTAAAGAATCTTTTAAAATTCATACAGGAAGTTGAGATAATGAAAAACATCTATGGATACTTTTGACTATTATAAAACGTTATTTTGTAATATGTAATTTTGAAAATTGTTTAGCCTTTTAAGAAAATAAAACGATGCCTAGTATCGAAAGTGAGCTGATGTGGGAATTTGAGTGTCTTAAAGCATACTTAAAATAAATATCCATTATAAGTGCGTGAGTATTTTATCAACACTATTTTATTTTCCAATACATTTTCGAAAGAGCACTTTTAAATTGTTTTCTTTTTCTTTCTTTGCTTTTTATCCAAACAGAACTTCTTACTGAAATAGCGTCGTCGTAAATATCATCATCTTCATTCTCTGATGAGTTGTGGTCCTCCTCAATACCCATCTTGGTGCCATTGGCGACATTCACGGTGGGTTTTACTTGACTGTAAGGCACAGGTGGTTTATCGGGCACTGATTTGGCGGGCGGGGGTGGAGGTGGGGATTCCTTAGAGGGGGATGGAGATCGCTGTAGGTTTTAACAGAGAATTAACTTCAATTGAGGTAAGAATTGTTAGACTGAGTTTAAGATTTTTTTTTCTTTCATAATTAATATTAATTCAGTATAGTAAATATAATTACCTGGAAAAAATAATTCAAATACATGTATAAAGTTAACATTTAAAACACAGATGATTAAACTGAATTTTAAATTCAAAAGGAAAACTAACATTAAAAAAAAATATTTTATAAGAAATGTATTTAATCAAATGAAATAAAAGGATTTGATAGAAATAACTTTAAATGAAATACAATGAAAATTAACAAAATGCAAAAGATAAATTCTATGTAAAAAAAAAAAAATCCATGAAACATGCAGTTTAAAATGCTTTAGTGATAGATACATGAAATAATGACGAACTTATCAAAATAACGTATATATCTAACGAGTGAATAATAATATCATACTGCCCTTGATAACTTCAGTGTGCTGTGTAGAAGATTATATAACTCTGGTTAATTAGTGAAAATATTAATTAATAGTAATTTTGATGTAAAAATTTGACATACATTTCAGTCACTGAAGTAATGCTATATTGATATAACTTATAAAAACTAATTTTAAGTTTTGAAATGACCTGCATCTATATTGATCTACATTGTATTGCATACGGTATGCAAGGTACATATCTATACGCAAATAAAAGACTTGATAATTAAGTGTCATTTTTTTTCAACATCACAGTCATCTAAGGACCAAATTACGTAAATCAAAACTGATAACATGACTATCTCTTTTTCTTTGTTGAACTAACCGGTTTAGAAAAAGACGGTGACTTAGGTTCGGGTGATGTTGGTTTGGTATTTGAATTAATTGCTTCTGGTTTCCTAACTGGTCGCGGGAATAAGTCAGGTTTTCCTGGCGTTACTGATTTCTTTAGAGATGTTGCCACAGAAGCAGCGGATTTTGGAAAAGGTAATGCCTTAGATGATGCCAAGTCTGAAAGGAAAGATTGTGGCATGCAAAGAATATATTGTGTATATGATATAGCATGAAGAACAACCATAGATTTAAAGGTTTTTTTTAATCATAAAGTTATGATTAAAATTAGATTGTTATTCAGATTTTTCATTCAGGAGTATGTAAGTTTCAATATTTCATTTTCTTAACATTTTAAGAAAGAAGGACTCTTTAATTCTTCCAAAAATTAAGATTAATTCTAATGCAAGATTTTTTTTTTAATTGATAATTACCAGCCTTCAAAAATATGATAGAAATCATAGACAATAAAATTTGAAAGGTAATAAAGTGAGTGATTCAAAAGACATCAAATATAACATTTTAAAAAATGAACGTACTGGGAAATAAAAATTTAAATAAAATTACATAAATAATACATACTATGGGAAACGTTACTGTCAAAATCAAGCTTTAGAATTATTCATTTTATTCCAGTATCTAAAAATATTTCCAGTTGGTAAATATCCATATATGAATATAATGATATTCATCCTCATATCTAATTACCGACACTTTTTTTCCACATCATTTAAGTGATTTAAATAAAGTGTGTGATATTAAAGGAAAATACTCAAAATGATCATCAATGATAAATAGGGTTCCTATACCACAGTATATGCTCGGTAATCCATAGATCATAAATCTTTTAAACAATGTATAACCGATCATCATTCGTGGAATTCAGGGAACATTGAGACGTCATGTTTTCATACTAATGGATGGAAGAACATACTCGTATTTAGAACTGAAAGATTATTTTTCAACTTCAAAAAAAAAAAAACCAAGCAAAGAAAATACGCTAGCACTAGCATGATTGCGCAATATCAGATGTGCAGATACGCAACTTAGAATGCACTGTAAAATCACTTATTTTCGTGAGGGGTTAATTTTCGTTGTTTTCGTGGCATAAAGAGACCTAAAATTCTTGTCCTTCACGAAATATAAATTTCAAATACTGTACAACTCTGCATTTCTTCAACCAAGAAATCAAGTCCCCTCGAAATAAAAAGTTTTCTGATACCACGAAAAGTTGACCCCATGAAAATTGAGATTTTACAGTATAAATTCTCTGGAAGACAGAAACTCATTTCATAAATGAAATCATATACAACATCTCTGAGGTAGAGACTGCATGGTGGGCAGAGGCTAAATTCGTGATGATATATTAAGTATGTGAGTATGAAACCCCAAGGAGCTAATAGACATCATCCATGCTATGTTGGTATTATAGAGACATGCATTGAGTGCCTTACACACTGACCCTCACAGCGGGGATAGGAGGTGTGTCATGGCTTGGAGCAGTTTGCCTTGGAGGTACTGGTACCTCCTTTTTCTGAGATGAATCGGGAAGAGGTGACAATCTTACAGTTGGTGTTGGAACTTCTGGTAAAGGATGATGTTCGTTGTGCTTCGGTTTAAAAGGTATGGGTGATTTTTGAGGTGATACTGTTTGTTGTTCTTCTTCCAATGGTTTGTGAGGCACAGGAGGGAGAAATTTTTTGGTTACATTAGATTGTTCTAGTGAACTTTGTTCACCTTGGGTGCTTTTTAATCCCCATTTGTTTACTGGGGGTTTCAATGGAGTTGACGGAAGTGTTTTCTGTATGGATGGCTTATTTCCGGTGTCATTTGGGGGCGTATTGGTTTTAGCCTTAGATAAAACATTTCTAAAGTCTATTTGCTCTACACCTGATCCTGAAAGAAAATGTGATTCTCATTTCTTGTAAGCAGAGGCATATTTGACAGATCAAAGGCTGATACAAATCTTTAATTTATAGACAAAATCTATTCATCTACAGCGTAGAGCCAGAAAATCCCTGTGAATAGTAATATGATATGCACTACTCTTTTAGACAGAAAAGAAATTATACACTGTGGAATCATCATTGTTCTGGAGGGACCAATGTTTGTGGATATCATGGGTCAACCTTACGAACGACCTTACATCCCCACACAATTTTTTTTCTCCTAAGTTTTTATCCAATGTTTAGAATATATGAATTACTCATGATATTACATCCCCAAGTGCACACAAATATTAACCCCATAAATTAAAACATTTCCATGGTATATATAATAACAAATTTTAGAGGAAAATGTTTTCTTTTGATCAGCAATCACATCCAAAATCAGTGCCTTTAATCGTCTGTTCTTTAACATTTACTAAAATACCTCATCAAATCATTTTTATTTTCTATACCAAAATATATTATTTTTTCTATACCAAATTAATATATCAATTCTATACCAAATATTTTAACAAAAACCTGGCTAATATCTGATACATAAGTAACGGTCATTGAATCCATCTTCTGTTATTTTCTTCTCTTTTCATCACACACACATATTTATACAAGTTCTGTACAATCTTTTGTTGTTTTTTTTTCCAAAGGTATCTTAAGAGAACATACTTTCATCCTCCAATGGAATGGAATGCTTAACATTAAGACCTTTATTCTTTGCCAAATTTTAACCCGGATGCAAAGAAAATTTGCATGCAACGTACATGACTGCATGCAGATCGAGACAAAACTTTCACATTTACTTGACATCAAATACGATTTTAAATCACAGATAATTTCAACAAGTTGTTTTTTTTCTTTAAATTACTCTATTCCTTTCCTCCATACTTACCTTTCTGTTTGAATTTTTCAAATGCCGATTTGACGCCTCCATCTTCATCATAAATTTTGTCTGATTCCTTGGCTTTCTGTTTGTCTTCTGTTGGCAATCCGACTTTTTTGAGTTGGACTCCTTTAATGGCACTGATATCAAAACCCATTGGTCCCCCTCCTAGAGGGAGTTTAGGTGTTGGTCTGGGAGCAGGAGTAGCTAAAAAAAATCAGGGGATTTTAAGAAATACAAATTACAATAAAAGAAACGGTACTAAAATTTAATTCAAATCACAGCAAGTGATTTCTTTAGAAGATTTACAAACTACCTTTATTTTTTGGAGGTGGAGGTGTCTGAAAAGGACAAAAGTAAAAGTATAGTGTAAGTATAAATAAGTACACGTATGGACAGAATGCTTCATATACAGATATACTCTCATATGTATTGTTAGGGCTCCATTTCTAACATTTGTTTGAAGTCAACATCATATTTATAAATTAATACTGAAAAATAAGTCTTATTCTTACCACTTCTATACATCCTGGATATTTTTTTATTGAACGATATAAAACAAACAATGCTTAAGCAATATGGATATTTAAGGTAAAGATCTAGTTAATGAATTTAGATTGCCTTTCTAGTGCTAGATCCATTATGATGCAAAACTTCAATTAAAAATTATGTAGAAAATTAAGCGTTTCCATGGCAATCAGTTTGAAATGGCGCAAAAGAAATCTCTATACTCGTATTGAATTTATTATTATTTTAAAGAAGAGGCCAGGGACATTTTCATTATCATTTTCTAAGTGACTCTAGACAATCTGGATACATATTTCATTCTAATTTTTGATATTGTAAATAAATCTCCCATATTTATATATATAAAACAGTTAAACAGTTTCTCTTCATCTTTTTATCAAAAACAACGGTATAAAAAATCATTTTTAAAGCATTGTTAAAGAAATGTTTCTCGGATTTAAGGAACTTGTAGGCCTCTTTCATTCACTTAATCTTTACCTTAAAAAATGTTAGCAAAAAAAGCTTTAATTTACATTATTACAATTTTATACACTCTAGCGAACATGTATTTAAAGAGAAGCACAAATTTATATATACTGGTTTAGAGGGAGAAGGTACTGATGGAGGGGGTGGGGGTATAGGTCTTCCTGGAATTCTGGGGGGTTGATTCTCATCATCCACATCCTCATACACCTCCCCAGGGGGACCTGCCTCAAATTCATCATATGTGTCCTAGTACAAAGCAAATACATTATAAGTAATCTGAAGCAGAACAAATGTATTTTAAGTATCCTAGTACAAAACAAATTATTACACATGTAAGTAACCTTAAACAACATACTGGTACAACACAGATGTATTATTCTGAGTCAGTAAATATTAAGTACAGTCAAACCTTGTTTTCTCAAACTTGATGGGACTGACAACAAATTTTGAGAAATCTGAGGATTCGAGTTATCAAGGGTAAAATACTTAAAGAATTAGTGGTTGGGACTTCCAGATTAGTTCATCATATCCATGGTATTCGAGATATCAGTGTTTGAGATACCGAAGTTTAACTGTATCTTGAAACATAACATATTCATCATAAATATCCTAGTGCAAAACAAAATGTATTATAAGGACCTTGAAGCAAAACAAAAATACCCTGGTACAAAACAAATGCATTTTAACTACCCTGAAGCAAAACATATAGATGTATCTTGGAATAAAACAAATGTATTATTAGTACGGATGGCAACGGTTAACCAATTAACCCACTAGTCAGGTAATTGGTTGGAAAGATTGTAACTGGTTGCATGTACTATTTTTATAACTAGTTAATCGATTTTTGTACTTAAATCTTTTCAAATTATATGTGTTTTTCAAAAATTAAAACTCTTAAGAATTAAGTGTGTTTAATCATATTAATCTGAAATACTGCAATCAACCAATTAGACATGCCACTGTCAAAACAAGACCGCCAAATTCATTGTCAATCTATCCCTGAATACTAATCAAAATTTAGGTACCCTATGTAAAAAAAAAAAAAAACAAAAAAAACAACTTCTATCTGCTTTTGTTCCACGTTGAAATAGACAACTAATCTTCTACTCCGTGATGTTTTACATGGTAATCACTAAAAATCTTTCCGATTTGATCATGAATTGCCAGCATGTACCACCTTCAACATCTTTGGGATATTTTAAGAGAAAAGGATGGCAAAATTTACAACCAAGAGTACCAAAACCTAATACCAAACAATTTTTTACACACAAAGTTTTCCTTTTCTTTTTATGTACAACAATCAGAAATAGAGTCAGAGGTTAATAAGTATGTAGCAGACATCCCCTTTTCAGTTGATATAAGTGCAATTTATTAACTAGTATTCATTTTAGCAAGAAAATATCTTGAGATTCCAGAAACATCTGACAGGTGCTCTCAGAGTGCATTTTGGGGGGAAGGGGGGGGGGGGAGGGATTAGGAAGTCTCCTGTCTGATGAAGTTAATTTTTCAGAGAAAAAAAAATAAATTTAAAGTGCTGATATGGTTAGACTCTGATAAAAAAATTTTAAATAATGTTTATATTGATATCTTTTTTCTACTTTGATTAAAAAAGTAATGAATTCTGATTATAATTGTTCAGCATTTATTACAAAATGCTTTTTCAAAACACCTCAATTAATTCATAAGAAAATTACAAACAAGTCCTATCTTTTCGATTAAACAATTACTAGGTCGAAAAAATTACAACTAACCAGTTAAAAAATTACCCGATGCCATCCCTAATTATAATTAAGTGAAGCAAGACATATTTGTCATATGTATTCTGGTACAAAACAAATGTATTACAGAGAAACCTGTCTCATCCAGATATTGTGTATTCTGAAACCTTGCTTAGTACAATTTAAATTTTAAGTCCCTTTCAGAAAAATCAGTTGTGAGAAATGTTGTCTTATACGGAATGTTGTCTGTTCTGGCCAAGTTATTTGGACCCATTGGTGTCTAGATTAGTAAGACAAGTTTTACTGTATACATTTGTAGGTATCCTGAAGAAAAACATACCATCATAACTACCCTGGTACAAAATAAATGCAACATATGATAAGTATCCCAAAGTATAACATATTTATCATAGGTACTATGTGCTAAAAAAAATAAATATATCAGAAGTACCCTGAAGCAAAACATAAAAATCATAAGTACTGTGGTGCAAAACAAATGTATTGTAAGTATTCCAATACAAAAATATAAGCATTTTGATTTTTTTTTAAAACAGTTCCTTCTAAAGTCAGTTTAATTAACATCAATATTTTCTATTTTTGGTCATGCAAAGATGACTCTGGATTTTCAGTACCTTGTCTCCTAGTATAAGCATAAAATGAGACAGAAAGCTATTCAAAAATGAGTTTTTTTTCTTATGATTAACAAAAATACACCAACCTGTGGCATTTCATCGGCCAAGGAAAATTCGTCATAATTTTCTTGCTGAAAAATAAACATTAAACATTGCTAAAGGTAACACATTGCTTGTAAAAATTGCTACAGTAGTGATTATCTCTTGTAAGATCACAGTGATGATTATCTCTTTTAAGATCTCAGTGATTATTATCTCTTGTAAGATCTCAGTAATGATTATCTCATGTAAGATCTCAGGAATGATTATCTCTTGTAAGATCTCGGTAATGATTATCTCTTGTAAGATCTCAGGAATGATTATTTCTTGTAAGATCTCGGTAATGATTATCTCTTGTAAGATCTCAGGAATGATTATTTCTTGTAAGATCTCAGTAATGATTCTCTTGTAAGATCTCAATAATGATTCTCTTGTAAGATCTCAGGAATGATTATCTCTTGTAAGATCTCAGGAATGATTATCTCTTGTAAGATCTCGGTAAAGATTATCTCTTGTAAGATCTCAGGAATTATTATCTCTTGTAAGATCTCAGTAATGATTATCTCTTGTAATATCTCAGTAATGATTATCTCTTGATATATCTCAGTAAGGATTATCTCTTGTAATTATTATCTCTTGTAAGATCTCAATTATGATTATCTCTTGTAAACTCTCAGTAATGATTATCTCTTGTAAGATCTCAGTAATGATTATGTCTTGTTAGATCTCAGTAATGATTATCTCTTATAAGATCTCAATTATGATTATCTCTTGTAAGATATCAGTAATAATTATCTTTTGTAAGATCTCAGTAATGATTATCTCTTGTAAGATCTCAGTAATGATTATCTCTTGTAATATCTCAGTAATGATTATCTCTTGATATATCTCAGTAAGGATTATCTCTTGTAATTATTATCTCTTGTAAGATCTCAATTATGATTATCTCTTGTAAACTCTCAGTAATGATTATCTCTTGTAAGATCTCAGTAATGATTATGTCTTGTTAGATCTCAGTAATGATTATCTCTTATAAGATGTCAATTATGATTATCTCTTGTAAGATATCAGTAATAATTATCTTTTGTAAGATCTCAGTAATGATTATCTCTTGTAAGATCTCAGTAATGATTATCTCTTGTAAGATCTCAGTAATGTTTATCTCTTGTAAGATCTCATTAATTGTTATCTCTTGTAAGATCTCAGTAATGTGTATCTCTTGTAAGATCTCATTAATTGTTATCTCTTGTAAGATCTCAGTAATGATTATCTCTTGTAAGATCTCAGTAATGATTATCTCTTGTAAGATCTCAGTAATGATTATCTCAAGTGTAAGATCTCATTAATTGTTATCTCTTGTAAGATCTCAGTAATGTTTATCTCTTGTAAGATCTCATTAATTGTTATCTCTTGTAAGATCTCAGTAATGATTATCTCTTGCCTGATCAGATTAACCTGTATACACACAATAAAAATGAGTCTTTTTTTATATTTCTTAAATAAATAAAATTATTACCTCCCCTTCATCTTCCATTTCGTAGGTTTCCTGTTGAGGAGGGGCAGGTACTGGGGGTCTTCCAGGAAGCTGAAAATCAAATGAGGTCTATCATCACTAGTAAATATGTGACCATTCAAGGCCCATTAGTTTGTTTTAGCAGTTAATAAAACCTGGAGTTACTCCTGCAAGAGTTTAGTAGCCTATAAAGAAGAATATATACAACTTTTGGGGGAAAAAATACAAGTATCCATAAAAAAATGTATTTTAAAAAAATCACCTTTTTCTGAATTTTTTCTTATATACATGTACGTCAGGAACAATGAACAATGAAAGAGAAAAAAAATTAAAGAGCTATCCTATTTTACATGTTTTGTATAAAATTACAAAATGACTGGTGTGTTCAACATTCTTGTCGGAACCTAATGAGTAGCATTTCAAAAGGTATGAGCTAAATCCAAATATAATAACATCCATTACAAGAAAAGTGCCAAATATTAGTACATGCCAACAATAAATAATTAAATAGAACTAAAGCAAAAGAAATGACATGCAAGAAGTCATTTATAAGAAACAGTGAATAGATTTTAAAGCAAATTAAACAATAAGTATAATTCTAAAGCAAGAAAGAAAACAAAAAGGGGGAAAAAGTTTACTTGCCATCAACTTACAAAAACTAAATTGGAAGGTCTTTTAAGTACATTATCCAAAAAACATTTACTTTTTAAATTGAGTGAATTTGAAATTGTCCTCCTTTGAATAAAATTCACAATTGGTTGCGGGAGTTAAAGAAATGTTCATTGTCAGCGGATAGAGAGATATGTGAATAGGTTTAAAATACAATATTTAATCACATATTGTTTTATTTTAAATCTGACGAAATAAAAAGTTTTTACAGTGCTAACAAGTTTGAAAGCATTGATTTACACCTTAAAAATTGGAGAACGATTTCAAATGTAAGTCTTATTTCATTACTAAACAAATCACAAGGAAGTACTACAAGATGTCTTAATTATCTAACAAATGTAAAGTAAAATTAAAAGTGTAAAAAAAAAAAATCTGCAAAGCAATAACATGTGGTCATAGTAATGTCAGTATATTAGAAAATCATTCTACCATTAGCAGAACTTGAATCAACACAAGATTACATTAAGCTTATATGAAGAGCCCATCACCAAAAGCCATGTGTCCTACTATCTACCCTTATACCTCAGGAGGCCCTTTGGAGGGTTGGTCAGAAACTTCTGGTTCCATCTCATAAATACTCTCCCCTGATTCATCAGGGGGTGTCTGGAAGAATGTCATTCATGCATAATGGTACAGAACATATAGAAGACAAAGAACAACATAAATCTGAGACTATCACATAATTACAGAGAGTGTAAAGCTCGCATGCCGATATTTAAACTTGCCCTAACGTGGTGAATATGTAAATGTTTATAGGCAGAAATGTGCTAAAACAGTGCCCCTCAGGTTTTGCTGTTTTGATGACTGCAGCAATAGCTAGAAAAGTCAATTTCAAATTTTCAATCTTAGATGCTGGGCAGATGAATTTTCTGCTTGAGTTCAAAAGATCTGTGACATGAAAAAATGAGTGGAACTAGAATATTCAACAAACATATCTGATCAGTGATTATAAATTCAACTTCATATTATTTTCATGTCATAAGTCTTAAAATGTTTATGGCCCCTCTGCTCACTTGAATAAACTTTTGCTTTAACACTAGTCTTATGAATTACTGGCAATTCATTATCAAAATACACATAATTTCAGCATATCTTGCAAAGGCATTTTTTTTTGGACAGAAAAGGCTTTTTTTTCTTCACCATTGTATAAAGCATTAGTAGTCATTTATTCCAGTGAGAGTTATCTCTCTTATCAGAGGGTCATACAACCTTAAGACCCTACATTGGAGATAACATATATTAAGTCACAGTTACTTTTCCTCATGTATGTTGAACAGCAAAACCTAAGCAGCAGTTTTGTGTATCCAAAAATCATTATAGGTACAATTTTTTTTTACATTGTAAAACTTGCAAACAAGCTCATATGAAATAATAGGTCTTACCAGAGATAAGAAAGTACTTAAATAAATACTAGTGTTTATTACATTTGTAGAATACATAGAATGTAAAATACATGTAATATATGTGCATAACGATCTTCATGCCATGCAAAAACATACAGCATTTACTTGCATATAAGGAAGTCTTGGGGACATGAATTTTTTAGTTCCATATAATAACTAAATATCTTTATATCAATTTAAGAAAGTGCCATGACATGAGAGAGGGGAAAAGGAGAAACTTTCTTATAAACAAGCTTTCCTTATATTCAAGTTCCCTATAACTGAGTTATACTGTATGTACAAAGACTGCCATATGACAACATTTTTTTTTTATAATTAACTTTTAAAAGGCAACTAAGAACTAGGATTCTTCTATTCTTTTAGTTTAGAAACATTTCACAAGTGTATAACCAGCTATCTTATTTCTAATCCCCAGTACCTGATGGTGCTATTTAGTTCAGTAGGTCATGGCTAACTACCTGAAACACCCTGAATTACCTGAGGGCGTACAGGATCGGGTTCTGGCTCCACTTCATATACATCCTGAGGTTCTGACGGGATAGGTGGGGGTGGTCTTCCTGTCTGAGGGGGCGGGGGTGGAAGTTCCCTCTACCAAAAAAATAATATGAACTTTGGATTGCTACTGATGGGTCACTTAATTATAGATTTCTCTTATTTACAGGTTTAAAGTTACAGTATAAATACTCTAAATAAAAAAGTAAACCACATAGAAAGAAAGATATTCATAGTCTTTCTATAACTCACCAAGAAAAAGCAGGTGCACGATCTGATAAGTCATATTGATAATAGATAATTGATACATAGCTAATACATCATTTTGTCTAAAGGAAATTTATTTTTGCATGAGGTTATCTGATCAGCTTAAAACTGATGGACATCAAAGATTCATATACAAGGTGCTTTAATAAGTCTAACTTATCAATAAATCTTAGAAACTGAGCAATCAATTTAAATTTAAAACTCTGTGGATCTGGACAGCCACTCTCAGATACTGAAAAATCATAATTATTCTTGCCCAATATGAGAGACTCATCTATGAAAAAACAATTTTGAAAATCCTTGAAAAAATACCTTTGCATGTGAGTTAAGGCCAGGTATGGGCGTTTCTATGCAAATGAGCTAATAAAAATGCATAAAAGGTATATTTATTATTTAGCATTGTTTAGAGAAAGTTTTGATTTATTTTCTTATACATACTTAGTATACACGATATATTAATAGTCAGTACACATTATAACGTCATTGTTCTTACCTACTTGAGGAAATAAAGCACATCAACAAAACAGCTTGGTGCAAGGGATTATCCTATTTATTTTTATATAAAAATTGTATTATGCTAAGAAGAATATTCTATACATTAATAAAACTGCTGCACAAATCCTAGGCATTTTCTCATTTGATCGGAATTTGAGGAAACTTATACAGGACTGTAGATTTTTACCCTGTTTCAACTTAAAACTTTACAAATAGTAATTAAACAACTGAGCTGTTGATATTCGTGCAGCAATATACCAGCAATCCTTGGAATATTTTGCTTCTAAATATACCTTGTCTGGGTTAAATGAAATAGAGCATGCCCTTGCGCCGCAGCTTTTTTGTTGATGTCCTTTATAATCTTGTGTAGTAAAGAACAATGACGTCATAATATGACGTCATAATGTGTACTGGCTATATCATGTCGTGGGTACCAAGTACGTATTAGACATTAAGTTTTTACTTTCTCTGTATAATAGGTATAGTCCTTAGGCATTTTAATTAGTTTATTTGCATAGAAATGCCTATACCTAGCCTTAACTCGCTTTTTTCAGCTTGTTCACATGTAGCAGCAACCAAACCAAAAATGATAACTGTGACAGTCAATCATTTTTTAATTGCAAGAACTTTGTTTTCGCATAATTATGCGAGACTATCTGCTTGCGAAAATTTCATTCTCATGTATATTTTTATTATTAAAGGTTATATAAAGCAATAACTGATATTAATTTGTGAAAATTTGGTCTCACTTATAAATCTTAAATAACTTTCTTGTGAAAATAAGGTGTCAAGAAAATTTGAAGATCTACAGTTATTCCCTGATTTAGATCTTTGAAACAATAAGGGCATTAAAATTCACACCTAGGATTACAGTCATTTTTTCCTATTTGTTTTAGATTTTCTTTAATAGTTTCATGCAAATGATATTTTGTCTTACCCGTGGGGTAGCAGGAATAGGGGGTGGAGTTTCTTCTTCAGGGACATTATATACTTCCTGACCGATTTCGCCATCATCATAAACTTCCTCTGGACCAATCTCTACATCCTCTTCATATATTTCCCCTGCCTCTCCATCGTCATAAACTTCCTGGTCATCAGGCTAAAGGGACAGTATCAAAATTAAATATTTCAGCCAGAATCTTTAAATCAATCAAGTCCATATGAAAACTCAAGAGAATATTTTGGTAAATTTGTACTGAATTTTAAACAAATTACCAAACAATTAAAAGTAATGGTTTAACAATACTGATCATTATACATATCTCTTGAAATTTAAAAAAAAAATAGAATTATTTTATAAAAAATGAAATTAAAGTTTCAGAACAAAATATCCAGAAAATCCAGAAAACAGTTCACTCCAAAACCTGGGCTGCATTCAAGATCATACCATCTAACCTTGCTGCAATGTGGAGGCAGTGCTAGATATCTAACTCTTTTGAATGGACCATTTGCTAGGTGAAAAATTTGCCATCTTTGATCTGGTACAATAACTGTACATGTACCTTTAATTTGTAGCACTGACAAAATATTATGCTAGACCTCTCTATGTAGCAGCTATAGGCTAGCATATCATTCAAGATTGTAGCTTTAAATAACCAATAAAATCTTGAAAACACCCCTCAGGCTGGTTACTTTAAATAAAGTATTTTATTACTGGTTATCATGGTTATAAATAAAAAAATATTTATAAACTGAAATAGAGACAGAATTACATAGAAAATATGGAATTATTTCATAAAAAGAAAACAACAAAATATGCCCTGTCAACAAAGAAGTAAAATAAACATGAACATATAAGAACTGGTTTAAAACTTTGTAGACATCATACATTTTCATTTTTTTTAAATATGTTTTAATAGAGGTAAAGAAGTCAACCTTGAACCATGCCAATATCAATGGTCAGAAAGTGTGAACTTGAACCTTGAACATTACTAATGGGAATGATCACAGAGTGGCAGAGTTACCTTTGTACAGGATGTTCCCATATTAGCTTGCATGAATTTATCCATTAGATCACTGATGATTACAAATTAAAAGGAAAATGGGTAAAAACTAGATACAACCAATAGCATGCATTCCATGTTTATTTTCAGACATAACACTTACAACATTTTTTTTTACAGAAAAAAAACATGACAAAAACAGAATCCCATATAGCAAAGTGTTTCTTATGCAAGGGTTTGTAAGAAGTGGAGCTGATAAAAATTACTAAAGGCAAGCAAAGATAGAGAAAACCAAGTCCAAAAAGAGATATCTTCCTTGAACATGCATTTCCTGATTTATGGGAGAAAAAAAACACCACTAAAATATGTGAAACAAGAAAAATAGTCTTAGGAAGGACACATATAGAATTCCGTAATCTTAATTCACAAAACACAGCATTCTTTACAATTTTTTTTTTATCGGATGAGGGAAAACATCTAGGCTGAAGGTAACATTGCATGGGTTGCAGAAAGAGGATGGGGACATCAAGTGTGCAATATGGCGCAACATGCTGAACTGTGTCCGCTTCATGCAAACATGCAACCCCAGATATCAGACCTTTGTAGGAATTTGTTGAGGCTCTCTCCTCCCAGGAACCGGTGGTAAATTTCGTGATGGGGGTGGTGGGCGGGGAGAAGAGTTGTGTCCTCGCGGTGGCGGCCTGGATGACCGTGGAGTGGAAGGTGGTGATGGGGAATCATCCCTTAGCTGTGCATTTAACTTGACATTTTTAAACATATGTTAAAATTGTCATATATTTATTTTTTTAAATACAAATCATTAAATCCAGTTGATTAATGATCATTATTTATTTTAAACAAACTATCATCACATATCACTGCAGTGCCATGAATTAATATTGAATTCTATGGTCTTAAAGAGTTGGAGCATATTTACATTACGTTAGTGGAATATCAGGCATTAAATGTTGCCTAATAACTATACGTGTACAACTACATTATTGTAAATACTGGGTATATTGTTTGAGTGTGTAGTTTTCATGTATTGTTTGCATGTTTTTGTCTATAATTATCATAATAACTGAATAGTTCCAATAGAGCAAATTTGAATAAATGTGTAAATAATAATTTTTGTTGGGTTTTGTATAAATGTAATTTATATTTTACTGAAAATTGTAAGAACCTATCATTTTTCTAATGATCTGCCTCGAATATTTATTCCGATAAAGTTCAAACCAACCACAAAAAGCAATATACTGACTTAATATAATGGGAGAAGAACAATTAATAAAACTATACATCAACTGTTTAACTCCATAAATAATAAATTTCTTCCAATGTAATTTGCTTACTCAATTAACTGATTTAGAGTTCAGGAGAGCCTAAAAAGTAATCAATCCTGCAGTAAATGTATTACAATTGGTTATGATTGTGATTGGCGCCTTTTGCAGAGAGCAGCTTTTGCTAAATCAAGTGCATAGCTAAATATCTTGTGCATCTAAATATAAGGTGCATTCAGAAAGTACTCAATCAAATCTATACACAACTTGTTGAAACATAGGTATTCAAAGATTACAAATCTCACCTTGACGAATGTTATAAGTAAGGCAAATCTCACATCATATTTTTTCTAGTAAGCTCGAGTGTGCATCCCAAGAATACTCATATGAAGTTTCGTTAAAGTAGAACTTATAGTTTCTTGGAAATGGACCTGCTCTAAAAACTCTGACCTGTTCACTAATCAAGAAAATGTTGATCAGTTCCAACATCCGCAGCAAGTCTTTAAATGTCAATCTTTAGATGCATCATCCATGCAAGTTTAATCACATAATTTTAGAACTATGCCAAAAACATTACTGTCACTCATCTGGAAAATGTAGGTCAGATTCAGCATCCAAAGCAAGTCTGGAAGTGCCCATCCCTAGATATATCATCCATACTAATTCGGTTAAAGAATGGCTAAAATTCACTCATCTGGAAAATATGGGTCAGATCCAGCAACTGAAACAAGTCTGGTAGTGTCTATCCCTAGATGCATCATCCATGCAAATTAGGTCCAGGTAGGGCTAATAGTTACTTGGGCAATGGACCTGTTCCAAAACTTTAACCTGGTCACTCATCTGGAAAATGTAGGTCAGATCCAGCATCTGAAGCAAGTCTGGTAGTTTCCATCCCTAGATGCATCATCCATGCAAGTTTGGTCCAGGTAGGGCTTATAGTTACTTGGCAATGGACTTGCTATTAAAAATTTATCTGGGACGCCGACACCGACAACGGAGGTATAGCATAAGCTCATCTCGACTTCATCGAGGTGAGCTAAAAATAAATTTCTGCCACACACCATTAATAAAATACATTAATTTTACAGTGTCTTTCTAATATAATGTAAATTTGATAAAACGTGTGCTCACCACACATACACTTTAAGAATGTAAATTATAATTTCCCAGAATGTTAACTTTAAAAACCCTCTCACAGACATTATGAAAATAAATTTTTTTAAAAAAGTTTTGACTTTAATTAGTAAAATGTGAGATTTCTATTCATTTACTTATAAAAGCATAGAAAACATCAAATCAAAGTCCTGCAACTTGATCTCAATCTAAACTACATGCAACATTCCTCAGTTGGTTATTTTTAACAAGTGTATAAAAACTGCATCCAGCTTTTAAATGTGCAAAAAAAAAATACTTAAATGACGAAATTTAATATTGGTGTGCTTGCAATAATATATTTCTATTTTCCTTTCGGTGCGAACAACATAGGTAACATGCAGTATTCTGACAATGATTTTTTTCCCTTCCTTTTTCAGAAACCTGCAATTATTTTTGATCATTTACAAAATCATGTATATACTGTAAAATAATGTGGGTTTTTTTTCTTCTTCAATTTGTTCCTATTCCTCTTTCCACAAGAACTATGAACAGGGAATAGCCGAAGAGGTCACAAATGATGGACAAGAGGCCCAAGGGCCACAATGCTCACCTGAGTCACTATAGCCCTGGTGTTCTTCATCAGCAGATTTTTCCCCCTATATATTCCTATGTAAAAATTTGACTGCCTATTGTGGCTCCACCCCTACCCCTGGAGGTCATGATTTGAACAAAATTAAATCTGGCCTAGTGGTTCTTGAGACAAAGAGTATTATAAGATGCCATTAAATTTTCACTAATTCTTAATTACTCCCCCTTAAAGAGGGTGTGTTCCTTTATTTGAATAAACTTAAATCCCCTTCATCTCAGATGCCAAGATTAGTTGAAATTGCCTAGTAGTTCTTGAAAAGAAGCTGAAAAAATGTGGAAAGTTTGTGTCAATGACGAGAACACTGAACTAAGATTTCAATGATGGTGACAGTCAATGGACAAATTCTGATCAGAAAACCTCACTTGAGCCTTTGGCTCAGGTGAGCTAAAAACCAAATAGAATGGTGCAAGCATCTTCTTCTCTTTAAACAAAAATCTGGACAAAGAAGTTTAATTCAACATAAGCCTAGCTTTCATATGTGATCATTTAATAATTACAAATATATCTTATTTGAATCTAATTTAAAGTCTATAATCTGAATTCATCCAAGTCCTGTGTAAAGAAACACATATGGAACTCTATTTCTAAAGTAATAGGACATATTGACTCATATCTTTTTATAAATCAGAACTGTTAGACTTTTTTCTAGTTAGTAATGTCAAACATTAACACATCATTCTAAAGTTGATTATATGTATACTTAAGCTACATCTAGTTATTAGAGTTTATTTTTTAGACACTACAAATAAGGGGGAAAAACTCTTATTATTCATGCAGAATGCCATTAATAATCCTGGGTAATATGTACTTCTTAAATATAGCTCTATTAAATGTCACCATGTTCTGTGAACAAAATCACACACATTTCATGTTTCAATTGGGAAGATTCAGTCAGAGGCATTGGATATTCTTTACAACATGTTAAGTTATATACTTATTTTTAAATATGGAGAAAAAAAACAACTTCTACATGTATTGAATATAGCAATTTCATGCATTTAATTAAACAAGAAAATGTTGATAAACACAGATATCATGAATATTTCTTCTTAAAATTCATCTTGTTTGACAACATGTGGTTCAATCTGTTCCAAGGAATAGGTGAAGCTTGCTAATTAACTAGAGGATATGCTTTTTAGGGTTTGGGATAAAACCGTTAATATTCAGGGTGTACAACAAAATGCAAACATCTTGCATAAAAATTACTTGAATTTTGATAATACATACCTCATTAGGGTATATGCATAAATCTGCTTCATATTCTATATTCACTGTATTATTATCATAAAAGGGTAATTATATTGACTGATTTTCCTTGTCTTTAACTAAATTCCAATGAACCCCATGTTCTTTTACCCATGTAGTGCATTTCATTTAGGAGACAAAACGGTGAAATCACTTACATTACCAGATTCTAACTGAATAAGACTATGCACTGTTCTTTGTTTCTATATCAAATAGAAGCATATAAATACAACTCATTGTTTGATGAAGAAAGCTGTATTTTAATAAGCTGTTCACAAAACTACATGTATTTTATAGAGCTATATTCAAATACACATACTGGATTATAAATATTGAGCATATACATTGACACATGCTATATATAGTAATATTATTATTGTATATTAGCTCTTCACTGTACCACAATCCAAAATGCAAACTACATTAATCTACATGTATGTAAAACATACACAAATGCCAAAAAATATATTGTAATTATGTGAGGGAAAACTAGCTGCCACCATTTTGAAGTATTGTAAGTCAGTAAAAAGGAATGAAAAATTCTGTTTAAAGATAAAGTCAATCCAATAGCACGCAATTCACTTACTTGTCGATAGCCTCGATTTGGAATAGCAGGGGGAGATAATTTATCCCGCATTTTCTCATAACTTTCATCAGAATCACCCTCGAATTCTGAATCTGACTCGTACGACGAATCAGAATGCTATACAAGTTAAAGGAGATTTATGAACTTGAAGTTTATTAATTTTATTATTAAAACTACCATTACAGTATTAATTCAAGTATTTTTTTTCTAACAACTTATACAGGTTTTATATCAATCACTGCAAACTGAACAATAATTCAAACTGGTAACAATGTAGTCCAAAAAATTTTAAACACATAGCATATATGTAAGTATGATTTGTCAGTTAATGAAATATGATTCCAATATTTTTTTTTTAACAACCTGAGCTAAAAAATTATTATCATCATTAAATCTATAATTATCATAATTAAATGAATTGTGTTTAAAGTAAATGATAAGAAAAGAATTGAAAATGGCATGGTCTTTGTTTAATGCGGGGCCTATAGGAACTGGGGGGAGGGGGCACAGAAGTGCCAATAATTTTGCTTATGACCCGGCCAGCCTATCATTATACAATGAATAAGACTTCTCTGAAATTTAAATCTTTTTTGTTTTTATCTTATACTCATACTTGACTGCTGATGTGATTGAATGAGATCAGTTGAACTGGTTTCTGCTGATTTGTATTTGGACCAAGTTCATTAAATTAAGTGTCAGTTTTAAGGCAGCATGGATTATGAGCCTAGCTGTACAAAAAATTCTGGGAGTTCCTGGGGAAAAAATGTATTCACTAAGTATGTATCACAGATATTCAATAAAATGTCTGCTTTTCCAAATCATTTTACTCTGATTCAAATTTGTTTGAGGCAGCTAGTGCAAGGCGATGTTGATCTCAAACTATTCCAGTTGAAGGGGACACAGGCGCTTGACGTTTTTAACCTTTCTTTTCATATATAAAATATCCCCCCATACTATAATGTTATGGCGCTTGACGTTTTTAACCTTTCTTTTCATAAATAAAAAATCCCCCATACTATAATAATAACATTATAGTATGGGGGATTTTTTATTTATGAAAAGATGGTTAAAAACGTCAAGCGCCTGTGGAAGGGGACTACTACATGTCGAGTGCAAAGTTTGTAAAAACTCTAGAAAGATGTCATATACAAAACAGGAGTAGCTATGACTCACTTGTGGTTTCAAAATAATATCAATGAAGGAAAATAGTAATATAATATATATAGACTGGGTCAATAGGGAAAACATCTTGTGACATGCAGTAATATACATCGATCTGAACTCCTTATAAAAAATCATGAACTCCTTAGAAAGCTGGACAGTATCAATGAATTTAGCATTTATCAATTTTTTATTGTTTATCTGCAGATATAGTCAGAAAGGTTTTAAAAATCTGTAGATCCTTACTCTTCTTTTTATTTTGATGTAATCGGAAACACACTATTTATTTGTTTGGCCTAATTATTCAATATTAATTATTATTAAGATTTTACACCTTCATTGTCATTGTATTGAAAAAGTACAGCACATTTTGGCGTTAACATAAAAATCAAGACAATATTCTTTTTTTAAATATCTTATACTCTCCTCAGTTTAAACAATACCCTTATATTAAAGCATAAAAAAAAATACAGCTGTTCATTTTTATCCTAACTTAGCTTCCTCCTTCCCTTTTCCAGTCGTGACTGCAAATTTCTCACCCCTGTGATCTTTTAGATAACTGTGTCAGTAAAAAATTAAGAACTGTACATCTCTTGTATTTTTTCTTTTGTTTACTACAGGCTGTATTGATTTTTTTTTAACTAAAAAGTTAAGCTATCTGGTTCAGTATCTTCTACTACTGCACAAACTTAAGGACAAGTCATTCCTCTTTCTGGTGTGAAATTTCCTATAGAAATAAATATTGTTTACTTAAAGGTAGAAATTTTTCTTTCCTGTTCTATTTTTACTTTGAAACTACTTAAAACCATTTTTAGATGTACATGTATTTGGCAAACTTTATCATGTTTAACATAAAGTTCAATATTTACTAGGAATAAAAATACATTTAAAGGATCATCTGTCAATATGATAAATATTCTGTATGGGTTTTTTAACATTTAAGCAAATATTCCTGGGTTTATTGCAGTAGAGATAGTGTGACAGATTCAATTCTCATAGCAATTAAGACTTGGCACTACATCTTTTATAGTAGTGCCCTTATTATATTACTTAAGTGGGTAAAAAGTCCTACTTATAAATATTACATTGTAACTTTTCATCTATGGATCTTCCCAAATGTGACAATTAAAGTGAGATCTTGTCTAAACAATACAAAATTTGATTTTTCCTTTCCTTTTTTTTCTTTCCAGATTAAAAAAGTACCTCTATCACAAGAAAGACATAAAAAAAAATTATTCCTTGAAATATTTCTATATAAATTTCTCAGTTTATCATCCAACATTTAGCGGATAATTTAAAGATATGGTGTTTTTTGCTGGAGCAGTTTGAATTTGTTGCAGGACAACAGACATACTGAAAATATAAACAGAAATACAGTTAAAAGCCTTTAATATTAAACTTTGTACTTTGTGGAATCAAATTTTTTTAATGATGAAACCATGTAATAAAAAAGTCATCAAATGAAGTACATGTAAATCTTGGAAATTAACCTTTCACCAGTGAGTACAGTACTATCTATATAAGGACACAAACATCACACAAGTCTACACTACAGACAATTCCATGTTTTAGATAAAGCCTGGGTTAAACCATACATTTTACACTTACTTCTAATGGATCTCTGGGAGGAAGCTAAAGGGGGCCACAAGGGGGAGGAAAGAAAACATTATTAAAATTTGCAAAGTGTTTTAAGCATTGTGGCACAATAGCTAGCTAGTTGTCTTAGATTTTTGAATTTTCATTTGATGTTCTTACTTTTTTTTTCTTTACAATTAATAGACTAAGTGTAATTTAAATGTGGTTACTGTAGATAATAGAGATTAATACAATGTACATATATGATTAATTGCATCTATAATCCAAAAAAAATTAATAATAAAAATAACATGCTTATATAATGTGTTGAAATTTTAACTAGGTTTGTGCTTAAGTAATATAGTTTTTTAAATCAAATATTCAAGTTCCATTAGGAATAACACAAAATGCTTGCATTAAATTGTCGATTGCTATGATTAAATGCGCAATATACTCATTCTATCATAATTAAAAAAAACGTATTATATATATGTTGCGTAATATATATACATGATATATGATATTAAAACAAAAAAAAGTAATATGCTGATATTAAAGTTAGAACAATGTAATTGCTAAGAGATATAACCTTTTCTGCCTCTTGGGGTGGAATTGGGGGTGGTGCACGCCTCCCTGGGACAGGTGGTGGAGGACCACTATCGTCTGATGGTACCGGCTAGAAATATAAGTAAATATAAGTAACAGTTCCCTTACAGAAAAAAACAATTGACACTTATAAGTGTTTTATAATCCACTTATAAGCAACTTATAAGTCACGTATAAGTTTAGAAATTTACTTATAAGTGTCCTATAAGTCAACGTAAGTATAAGTGAGGAAAAGGTTTTGTTAATACTTCACTTATAAGTGAAGATTAGCCACATATCTGTGAATATTTCCATTTCTATTTGTTTTCTCTGTGATAACTCTTGGAAAGTTAGTTGAGTTGATTTCTTGATCATTCTACTGGAATGTAAATTTTGCCAAGCGAAAGGTCAGGAGCTAAGAAGGCCTAATATGCATGTAATTCTTGTGCGACTGTCTTTGTGTCTGACTCTAAGGAGGCCTAATATGCATGTAATTCTCGTGCGGCTCTCTTTGTGTTTGACGTCAGTGGGCGGGGACTATTGAAATTGACATGTGAGGCCTCATGTAATTTAAATCAATTAGTCTACATTTTTAAAATCTAAATTTACAATTTTATTTCACAATGAAATAGAAATATAAGGAATCACTGTCTCGTTAGTAAAGTATGCGAGGGACATCAACAATAGTTGGAAACGTGGGATAATTTATGCATAACGGGCTTTGCCCGTAATGCAAATTATCCCACGTTTCCAACTATCGTTGATGCCCTGGCATACTCTACTAACGAGAGAGTGATTCGGTTCCTTAAATATTTCACATATACTTCACTTATAAGTGAAGATCAGTATGGTATTAGCCAGAATAAGTGTGAACTTAGAATTTTTACATTATACTAGACTTTTCTAGAGTTGCATTGTGGGTATTCAAAGTGACCAATCAGAAACTTTGTCTCTGCAGACTGAGAGATAAACAACAAGAATTTGAAACTAAGTTAATGTCTGTGAAAGGATGTTGTCGGAGATTTCAAATTTATTTTGAGTATGCCTTCACATCAGGTACAAGTAGGTTCTATTTGCATCATCTTTTTATTTTAATTTCCTTTGTCTGAAATTTTGAATCATTTGACTCAGTAAATGCTTTCAGATTTCATAAATTTGAAGTAGCCTCAAGGTCATTAAATTTTGAAGACTTTTTGTCCAATATTTTTGTTTGTGAACTGAAATAATATATAAAGTTTGCATCATCAAAGAATATTATATGTCAGAGAGGGATTTATTTTCATAAAATGTTAACTTGATTCTTTCATCTAGAGTGCAGATCGATACATATGTATATGTAAAGAAAACTTTGAACATCATGCAACCCCTGCATGATTGGAAGTTTTGTTCCAAATTAAAGGACTTATCGCATGATTTTTCAAAAATCTTAATTTTATGAAAAATATTATCTACAACCTTGTTTATTAAAATTCTGAATACAATAAACATTGTTGAAAGCATATTTTAAGAGATATTGAGAGTTGAAATTCAAATACGGCAATATGCATATTTCAGTCGGATTTCGGCGAAATACTGCTCTGACGTCATAGGCGACAATTCAGTGATAGAGAGATGAGAAGTTGCACACTATTTATGAAGTTATCAACGACAAATGCAGCTTAATTATGAAAAATGCTGAAAAAATTAATTCCTAATGTGATTTTCAATTACTATAGAAACATTAACTAGTTCTAAGGTATAAGAATTTTGAGATATTTTCATTTTTTATTCGAAACATTTAGAATCTGTAGGTCTGATTACGGCAATGTTTCGTGATAGGAAAATTATTTTTCAAGACCGCCATCCTTTACAAAACATATGAAAGTATACTTGCATAAATTAATATTATGTTAAAAAGGAAGAATAACAGAGTTATGTAAGATTAAATTTGTGAATCAAATATTAAGTTAATACATGTGATAAAATGACAAATCAAATTGTATTGTGATGGCGAGTTTCTTCTTCTTCGCCGCGTATCCCTCGCTATCGTTGCTGTTATTTTTACATTGTTAACGTATTTTTTAGATTATTTCTTGCTGACAATTCTAAAATATAAGGTTGGACATTAAATTTCATATCGATAAAATCAGTGATTTGGTCGTCCATAACGCAGAAAATTCAGGTTGTATCGCGTATATTTTAGTAAGATTTACGTGAAGAGCTGATCAGCCATTGTCGCCTTTGACGTCACAGGGTCACGTGATCGCTATCTAATTAACTTAGATTTTTAATTCAGCGGTTTTCATTTGAGTCAATAATTGGTTAATTACCGCGGTTTATCCGCAGTAAAAACACAAAATTTATAAACTGTGGTCATAAGAAACGTTTTACGCTTTTAATTTCAAATAATTTAGAAACATGCGATAAGTCCTTTAAGACCTTAAAGGCAGTGCTGTACTTCACTTATAAGTGACTTATAAATGACTCATACTTGATAAAGTATGAATGGCTAATACTTGACTTATAAGTCACTTATAAGTGACTATACTTGCATAAAGCAAAAGTGGCTAATACTTGGCTTATAAGTCACTTATAAGTCAAGCACCTCATTTGCATATAAAATCCTAATGAGTCACTTATCAGTCACTTATAAGCTAAATGTATTAGTGAAGTATAAGTCCAGAATAAACCACTTATAAGTAAAAGAATAAATCACTTATAAGTCACTTATCAGAAATTTCTGTAAGGGAGACCCTATCAAATTTTTAAAATCTTACATTACAGAATTTTAACTGTATTTTTTTTTAAAAAAAGATATCAGATGTACAGCCTCAGTGTAGTCCAATTATAATCTACTTTAAATCCAAGTAAGGGTTTTTTTTTTTCTTTTTTCTTTTTTTTTTTTTTTTTTTGGAAGAAATGAAGTTTTAGCAATATCTAACATGTTAACCAGCATTAAATTGAATCTTTTGAGTAAAATCATTTTTTAAAAAGCTATTTTTATAATTCAGACTATTTTCTTAATTCTTCTGTATTCTCTCATATAATTCATAAAGACTGCATCAGGAGTTGTCCACCCTTGTTAAAAGTTTTAAGACTAAAAACAATTGTTACGTCAATTAATTTTATGGACATAATTTTAAAGAGTACAACTTAATCTTTCAGTCTTATGCTTGCTACTGAGATACAATTGTACATGGTGCTCAGGGGACAAATCCTATATTGATTCGAAGGTCAAAGAGTAAAGTTTATTTTTATTCATGAACATACTTCAGTCTTAAGGCTGTTGAAAATAATTCTATGATTAGCGTCACCTTAAAATTCAAAACCTACTTGGGAGGGAGGAAAAAATAAACAAACAAAAATTTTAAATAAATGTGTATTTATTGAAAATTACCTATTCAGTGACCAAAAAATTCAACAATGTCAAAAAATACACATTGTAAGATTTGGTGGGGTTATTATATGATTGGTGGGGTTATTATATGATTAGTGGGGTTACTATATGATTAGTGGGGTTACTATATGATTGGTGGGGTGATTATATGATTGGCTGGGTTACTAAATGATTGGTGGGGTTATTATATGATTGGAGGGTTTACTAAATGATTGGTGGGGTTATTATATGATTGGTGGGGCTATTTTCTGATTTGTGGTGTTATTTTTTGATTGGTGGGGTTACTAAATGATTTGTAGAGTTATTTCATAATTGGTGGGTTATTATATGATCAGTGGGTTTATTTTCTGATTGGTGTGGTTATCATAAGATTGATAGGGTTATTATATTATTGGTGGGGTAATTATATAATTAGTGGGGCTATTATATGATTGTTGGGGTTATTATAGGTTTAGTGGGGTTATTATATGATCAGTAAGGTTATTATATGATTGGTGGGGTTATTATAGGATTGGTGGGGTTATTAAAGGATTGGTGGGGTTATTATATGATTACTGGGGCTATTATATGATTGCTGGGGTTATTATAGGATTAGTGGGGTTATTATAGGATCAGTTGGGTTATTTTATGATTGGTTGGGTTATTATATGATTGGTGGATTATCATAAGATTGGTGGGGTTATTATATGATTAGTGGGGCTATTATATGATTGGTGGATTATTATACGATTGGTGGGGATATTATATGATCACTGGGGATATTATATGATCAGTGGGGTTATTAAATAATCGGTGGGGTTATCATATGATCAGTGGGGTTATTATATGATTGGTGGGGTTATTACATGATTGTGGGATAATTATTTGATCAATGGGGTTATTATAAGATTGGTGGGTTATTATAGGATAGGTGGAGTAATTATTTGATCAGTGGGGTTATTATATGATTGGTAGGGTCATCATATGATTGAGTAGGGTTAATATATTATTGGAGGCATTATTATACAATTGGTGGGGATATTTTATGATTGGTAGGGATATTACATGGTTGGTGGGGTTATTATATGATTGATGGGGTAATTATTTGATCAGTGGGGTTATTATAGGATTGGTGGGATTATTTTATGCTTGGTAGGTTTTTTAGGGTTGGTGGGGTTATTAAAGGATTGGTACAGTTATCATATGATTAGAGGGGTTATTATACAATTGGTGGGGTTATTTTATGATTGGTGGGGTTACTATATGATTGATGGGGTTGTTATACAATGGGTGGGGTTACTATATGATTGGTGGGGTTATTATAGGATTGGTGGGGTTATTATAGGATTGGTGGAGTTATCATAGGATTGGTGGGGTAGTCATAGGATTGGTGGTTAAAACCATCTTTGTACATTTGTTTAACTCTAATAGTGGCATATACTCTTAATTTCTTTGTATAAGGACCTGGGATGCAGTTTTTCACCTCATTTTCCTTTCAAACGGGATGTAGAATGAAAAATCAAACCTGAATGACTTAACCTCAAATTTTGATTTCTTTGTTTATTTTTAACTGCAATATCACCAAAACCTATGCACGCAGGTGACGCTTAACATAGAATTTTTTGCCTAATGACCAAATAAGTACTTACTAGTCTATAGTAACCTCTAGCTTATCAAAAATAATAATGCTTTTGTAAAAAAGAATCCATATCATTATCATTACATTAATTTCCATTATATTTCCAATAAGACTTATTATATTAAGTTATCATTCAGCAAAAATAAGTAAATATTTTAACATTTTAATTTCAAAAAAGAAAGATAACTCTTTTCTAAATTCATTATTTATAAGTATTTATCATTTGTTAATAGTCTGTTGAGAATAAGGCTCTAAGAATCTTACATGAATATTGTATATGAATACACTGAGCATTTTTTAACAAATATGGCCCACCGTGGACATTTGCTAACATTTAAAACATTCTTAAAATCATGAATTTTATCTCAAAGGAATGTCCATGACTGTAGAGGGTAATCATTTCAAAGAAGACACAAATGAGATCCATGAACAAAAAAGTCCTGAACATCTGTGTAAATGTGTGACTATAGAGACAGACAGACAAAGTAAATCCATTTATCCATGCATCAAAATATATCTTTAATATTATCAAACAAATTTAAGATTATCAAACCGGGGGAGGCCTTCCTGACTTTGGTGCATCCGAGTCTGGTAGAGGGAGCAATTTTCTTGGTGGTCTACTCATCTTGTCCAAGTTTACTGATTTTTCTTCACTACAACAGAGGATTACATTATCATTAGAAAAATAGCCTTAAATGAAACTTACCTAGGGAAAAGTGAAAAAAAAAAATCAGGAGAATGGAGTGAGGGAATCCCTAGTCCTTGCCCTAGGTGCCTCCAGGTGCAATAAGGACTAGGTAGGTCGGCAGAAAAATACCCATTCATGCAGCTAATTAAGTTTTCAGAAAATAGACATAACAAGTTACTGCTGCAACAAATTAAGAGATATAAATGAAAGCCATAATAAGAACCCTGCATTTATTGTTAAGATTTACCTTAAAATCTAGATTAAGTCATTTATCAAGGGATTAATTTAAGCATTAATCCATAGACAACAAATGTAATACTGAAATGAAATGGTATGACTTGTCTGTCACTTTACATCAGTCACAATGTATGATGTCTTAAACTTAATCACTTCATCCTCTGATCTCAGTTGATTCAGCAGGATATACACCATTAGATATATATAACAAATACACAAGTATGCAGGTCTCATGTACATGTTATCTGTCATGAAGTGGGAAACTGGGGGACAATTCATTGTAATAAAGCATCCATTGGCTATTTTTTTTCCCCACATTACCCATATTTTTGGCTATTGTCCCCCAATATTGCAGTGGGAAATTGGGGCACAATTCATTGTTCCAGTAAACATGGTAATAAAGCATTGATTGGCTTTTTTTTTTCCCTTCACTTATCCATAAATCGCACAAGATTTCATGCTCAGTCTTAATTGAAGTAGAAGATTCTGACAAGACTGTAGCTCTACAGGTTTGTAATAAAGGAAGAGAAAAATAGCGTCTGTACTTGAAACTTAATATTAGCTATAGAAACATAATCATGATAATGAATTATGACCCTTGTACAGTTTAGTATACCTGTGTACCTAGTTCTATAGAAATCAAAACTATATGAGGAGTAGAGTTTGGAAAGAATTTCACAGACATTTTTAATACAATTAACCATGCAATTAATATAGCAACTGCACAATCTTTGTAAAAATCAAAACTGAAATCCATGACATAAAATGGAGTATTTTACTTTGTGCAATTGATCAGTTTTTCTGTATGCAGTACAAAGCTTAAATGATATTGGATCAAAAAAGTTGGAGTAGACTTTTGAAATATTGCTTACAGACAAATAAACAGCTAGATAGACAACTTATTATCACATAGGTTCTTCTTGTCTTTGTCCAGCTGAGCTAAAAATGTACTTTCTAGTGTGTTATGAAAGTTTGTAGATACACCTGAGTGATTTATAGCCTGTGAATTTAAAGCTAGTATTCATTAATAAAGCTTAGATTACAATTTTCTGAACCTGAGATTATCAATGTCTTAATTTAGACTTCACAAATCACTGTAATATGTCTTAATTGTTGTTTTGTTTATTGATACAATATGAATTAATTACTAGTAGAAATTACAAGTATAATTTACATGGAACACAACAGTTTACTCTGGACTGTATGTTTGTGTAATGATATCATAAACTGAACTATAATTGACATGTATGTCTGTAAAATATTTATGATCCACACTTAAAAACAAATTGTTTCATACATATATAGGCAACACAGCAATAATACAAGATGTGATTATATACCCTCAATATGAAGTTCTTAACTTTGACACATGAAAGATTTCATTCCTACACCCATGTACATTGTTCTAGTATTTATATAAATATATTCTCTACATCTATGATCTAGGAGTCATTGTAGTGATGGTACAAAGAGAAAGTTAAGTGTACTCAGACATCAGCACAGACAGTGCTAAATGGTCACTAATTGTGTTTTAAGGAAGTTTTTTTTCTACTATAATTATATACATATACATAATTATATGTATTGTCTAAGAGGCATTATCACTGCTTTAAATGATACAGTAAGACCTTGCAAGGTTATAACAAAGTCCTGGGGACCTTGCTAGGATTTTTCTTCACTATGTCCATTATATCCACATGATAATGAATCTGTTAAAGTTAATACATGTATATAGCTAATTCACAATATACATGTTTTACAAAGAATTGTTAAGAATAAAGAATTTTGCCAGGGATCAAAAAAAAATTTGCTCTGTACATAAATGTGCTACATCCATAAATTTGCTATATATCCATGTCAACAATAAACAAGTTTTACCTTAATATGAGTTTTGACATTCTACATGTTCTAGGTTTAAATTAAGGTCCCTCTAATCATGCTAATGTAGATTAATTCTTCTTTTTTTTTTTTTGTTACCCTAACAGCTAAATCTGAATGATGTAATATGAGCAATCATGATGGGGTAATTGGTTACATGGTTTTGATTTTTACTGCCATTAAAATGTGCTAAAAAACATATGGTTCAAATTCCTTGCAACTTCATTAGAACTATAGATACAGTGAAACACGCTTATATTTAGATATAATGAAGTACCAGCTGGGGAATGGAATGAAGAATTGTGATACATATTTATAAACATAATTCATTATATCCGATTAAGTTTAATACTTTTTTTAAAACTTATAATGGGGAGTTAAAATTACTTTGCATAAATCATTACAAGTGTTTTTGCTGCTTTACTATTAACAATATGTGAAGAATTTCTAATCACTGAAGGGATATATATATATATAAAGAGTTAATAACAGCATGATAAGATTGGAGGAAAATGATATGAAAAAAATGAAATGAAGACTTTAAAATTAATTCTGATTTTTTCTGATTCTTCATCTTCAATGAATAAGCAGCATTACGTTTTTAAAAGGAAAGGAGAAAATGCATGGCTAGACTGGGAATCGAACCCAGGACCCCTGCATCACTAGTGCACTACCCACTGCTCTACCCAGGCTGATATGCATGGCCCACACTATACACATTTAACATGACTTTGTATAATTTTGATTTTTTATACGTACAACACCATCATGATGATCAATATATAGGTAAATTATTGTACAATGAATCGGTGTTAAACCTATATTGCTAAATACTCACATAATAAAAAGGATTAACTATAATAATCATGAAGCCAAAGTGATGAATATTAATAACCCTGAATGTCTGAATGTATGTTAATGTAAATAATAATACCATGATCGATGCATTAATGCATATAATTAATAATAATTTCATTATGCAAAAATCATATCATAAATTAAAATACATGTAAATGTTCTCTCTCTCTCTCTCTCTCTCTCTCTCTCTCTCTCTCTCTCTTGATTGTCTGGTCAAAATTGTAAATGTGTGAAGAATGTCCTTGGTTTACTGTATTTAAATCACATGCACATACTAACATAATGAAATATTCAAAGTAGACTGCACAATTAATCACACAAAAATAACACTAATTAGTTACTTACAATTTTCTCTGAGTTTGAAACTGTTACTTCATGACTCCAAACTTTGAAAGTTAGAAAAACTTGACGCAGTATAACAACTTCCTTTTCGATCAAAATATCACTTCCTGGTTCGAAAATAATGTTTACACAAATTATCTCTAGGTACTACTTTTCCCTGAGAAGCTGTAGATGTGTAAAGACTCCAAAACTAAACAAGAATGGTCGGTTCTTCACCCTTTGGTATTATATTGGACAAAACAATAATTACTGTCACAGGTAACCAGCTCCGAGCAACTTCAGCAAGTAGCCTAATGATGTAGAAAATCAATCGGGTTCGTGGTTCTGACCTAAAGAGTTTCTCCGACGTTGATAGATATCTGTGTCACTGTCAGTTTTTCAGTTTTGATTTTTTTTTTCAGCATGGGAACATGTTTGAGACAGAGAGGACCAAATCTGATTTTTAAGGCAAAGCAGCTACAAAGGTAAATTCTGCACATATATTTTTTTTTATTAAAACACTGCTCACCTTTGTTTGACGTAAGCATCAAACGATCGGCATGCAGCTATCCTTTCGAATTTCCTCAAAATTTGATTTTAAGATCAAGACGAAAACGTTCTCAAGAAATTATGTTGGAAGTCATTACTACAATGAAGATATGAGGAACTTTTTTCACAATATGCCAACTAATTCAATGATATATTTTGATTGAACACTTATATATCCGAATTTCCTCACATTTAAGTAAGCAACATTATTTCTATACACTCACTGTACATAATATTTCGTTGTCTTTGATCATTTTTTTCCTTGGAGTTAATCGCTGGTTCCCTATGTTGAAAATAAAATAGGTAAGCGTAATGTTGAGATTTTTATGATTTACAGTGAGATCACTGGGGCAAACCCAGTTGTATATATACAATCAAAAACCTTTACCAGTCTGTTTACAGCTCACACTTTTAACTCTGATCAACCTCTTAAAACTCAAACTGCATGAGACAGTCTGGACTGTGATATGATATCACACATTAATTGCACTTCCATAACTGAGTCTAAATGGTGCATTTTTAAAAGAAAGACATTGTTGAGTAGATGCAATTAATTTTTGTTTCTCTTATCATGCTTAATATGCTCTCTGCAAGAACTCAGTCTTCAAGATAACTGCAGGCCTGTTATATTTACCATTATTGCATGGAATTGTGGTTGCAAAAGAATTCTGGGAAGGTTTCACACAAAATATGCAGCCTTGACAAATTATACAGATTTCAGTTCAAATCTTCTCTGCTCTTACAAGTCAGTCTATTGAGTTCGCTGCACTCAGTATATTTTCTCAATGTTCAAAAACTTTTTTTGTTTCTAAAGAAGATCCTTAACTGATATTTTAAGGAAAGTTATGAAGGAAAATAGAGCATTTCCAATAAATGTACTACAGTCTTGATTCTTTTCCACTTTTTCTGAATATTTTAATATCTTTTTCTTATCCTTCCATATTCTGTACAGAATTTTGATTTAAAGTATAAATTTTATAACACAATTTATTTCTTTGTCATCTTAGGCTTCAGTTAATTCCATGTATATCCTGCTCACAACTACAAAGTTCCACTCCTAGAGGTAAGAACAACTTTAATAATCCACTGAAATTTATACCAGGAATTTTTTTTTTGGAAATGATATCAGGGACTCAATACATGTCCTAAAAATTGTGAACCAGTAAATATTAAAAACCTTGAGAAAACTTGAACCACTGTGGCACAATTTTAGTTGTAATAGTTGGGCATGTGACATTGCTGTTAAACACATTAAGTAAATTTTCATGATTTTTTTTTCCAGACACATATCCAAAAATCTATGCCCCCAAAAAGATAAACAGGTAATTATATTGTAAACAGATAAGTCACTTTGGATATACTAGATTGATTTTGTTGTTACCCAATATTCTTACAGAGGTGATGAAGAAACCTATTATGTAACATCTATGACATCCATGTAGTTTCACTTTCTTTATTATGTTTTAAAAGAGCATAATTTCTATTCACTGTATTCAAAAATGTTCTCTTAATTAATCACTGTAATTACCAGTATATGCAATGTACAAGAACATATTTTCATAATGGTAAATGTACAGGACTACATTCATATTTAGTTACATCACTTGATGTTGTAGCTAAGACAGTTGTAAATATCTGTACAATTATGACTAATACACAAAATAAGGCAAAGTGTTTGTGAATAATTATACAGGCACTAACTTTTGTAGTTTGCAAGGAAATTCAAACTGTTTTAGCAGAGCTTCTCACAGAAATGAAATTGGTTTTGAAGTTTTCATAGTATTTTCACATTTTAAATGTTATTGAATGAAAGTGGATAATGTGTATTTACATGTACATTTATATACATCTGACACTCTTTTTAGGTCCCCAACAGCATTATTAGAAGCTCTGGAAGAAAGTGTTGGATATGTATGTAATACAGAAATATAGACCATAAATTTTAAACATGTACAAAAATATTGGCCAGATTTCTCTGGGTTTTTTTTAAATATTTCACTTAAAAAAATATTTTTTATTTATCTTTTTTTTTTAGGAGTTCTCATTAAAATCTAGATATTGTTGCCTTCTGCTTGACTACAAGAATAATTCTTGATATTTTTAACTTTCTAGGAATGCCGAAGTTATGGAAAATTTTCCATTGATGATCCAGCCTGTTACCATCGCCAGTTTATGAAGGTGCATACTCTTATTCTCTTAAACTGACATGTAAAAGATGTGAACTTTCCAATGACCAAATCGAATTGAAAGAAATTTGTTTATAATAACATTGCATGGCAGTAATGCAACAGAGCTTAAAAGGCACATACATGTTTTATACATGTATATAGATGATTTGTCCATTCGAAGTTTTTTCTATGTTTAGCGTCCACGTGCAGCTTGGTTTTTGACACCCCAAATGAGAAAAAACAAACAAAATCAGGAGCTCTGAAATTGATTATTCTGGTCAAAGTCTTTCAATTCTGTCAATATCTCTAGATATTTGTTTACAATATGTCATATTAGGTATATTTTAAGCATTTAATATCTTGATTTTGCTAAAGAATAGATTTTTGTACGTGATAAATAGATTAATGAAATGAAATGCTTTGAATGACGTCTTTTTAAAGACTATAAAGTCTGTGTTTTATTTTTTGGCTTGTGTGTTTTTTGCGAATAGGTAGGTAGGTTTTTGAAGGGTGGACGCTAAACAGAGAAAAAACTTGGAATGGCCTTACTTCTTGCATTTAGCTAAAATTATTTTCACTAGACTGCGAGTATTCCATGTACATGTATTTATTTTTCATCTAAATTGATTGATATCTGCATGCCCAGACATGCTAGGCATTTAAAAAAAAAGAAAAGAAAACAATATCAAAAACAAAATCTCAAAAATTAATCAAGATTTAAAACCATTGTAAAAAATAAATTTTCTACTATCAATTTAAACTTCTGTTTAAAATATTCCATTTCTAGATTATCTACTAAACACATGGTCACTTTTGCTCCCATTTTATTTTAGCTGCATTTGCCTTCCTCATCAGTGGGAAAATTCAAAATAGGACAAATTTAACAGAAAATAGAAATACAATGTATCTCTTTAATGCAACTTTGTCTTGGCATATTAAAATTGGAGCAAAGTAGATTGCAGAAGTGATAGGACAAAATAACACAGGGCAAAAATAACTTAGTAATTCAGTAGTTGTGTACTCAAAATAATGAGTGACTGCAATTTTTTCAATGTTTTAACCAAGCTGTTGCAAATGTAATCATCATAAAATATTTAAGAAAAACTAACTTGTGATTGATAAATATAGGATCTCCAATGGCTTGTGGTTGGATATGATTTTCATCCAACTCACTGTGTGTTTTCTATCCCCTTGCCAAGGCTCAGGGATAGAAAATGCACAACTCCTTGGATAAGATTCATATCCAACCACAAACCAGTGGGAGATTCTTTTTATCATGTTTTACACATTGCTATCACATGTTTTACTCTGTTTTTACATAGGAATCCACATCATCGAACTTTTATGCAAAAACCATTGTAATGCCAACTGTTGATATGAAAACAATATCCTATGAGCTATATCCACTATATAAAGGAGTAAATGTGTGATAAAATAGTTTATATTTACCTGTATTTTAACTTGATGTTAATTATATTTTTCAGGCAGAAATGATGCTTTCCACAGCATCAGGGAGGAAAGCAGCGAGAATGATGATGAGTATGTACCCCGAGGTGTTTGAGGGGACACCTGCCCATGTACCAGTGGAACCCCCAACTAAGGTAAATTAGTGACACTGACTCTGGGGCCTCTGAGATCTAAACCAGGTTGTTCATGTACCTGTGAAACTGTTCAGTATATGAGTCAAGATGATAGCACTGACCCATAGCCATGAAAAATCTTGACCTCTGTTCATGTTTTTGTTTACTAAGTAAAAGATGGTGACACAAACCTTTTAGTCTTAAGATCTTGACTTTCCAGAAAACAAATGCTAAAAATTTCAAGTACAGGCATATACATTAACTTGATAGCATACACTGAACATGCATTTTAAGTTGAAGAGGAAAAGAAATTTTTTGATATGATTGCTTACTCTATTGTTTAATCTCTTTCAAATGATTTTGTTGCTCTGTATGTAATGACTATCATCTTCATGTTATACATACATGTACATTGTACATGTAGCAGTAGTTTGGGAAAAAGGTGTTAAAAAATTCACAACTTATTTAAAGAAACTTTTGCAAGTTTCATACTTTTGAAGCAATTAGAGAGTTTTGTAAAGTATTTCTTTAAAGAGTGAAAACACACATTTTGAGTATCGAGATTGGTTAGGATATGTATGCCTTACTTAACAATACTCTAAATTATGTTTTTGAATTAAGATTTGACATTGTTACAATATTCTGCAGAATTGCACAACAAATCAAGTTTGAATTGGTGAAGTCCATATGCAAGAAACATTTGCATTTAACTCGGTTATGGAATATCAGTTAATATGTCTTCATTAAGCTCTGTCTTCATATATAGGCACATGTAAATCATTTTAACCTTTTAAGGGTTAATCTTGATCTTGTCTTTTGACCTTGATTGTTCAATAAACAGCAATGATATCTGAGAACTAGTTTCTCTTTTACATTACAGGTATTTGATCCCATTGTGACCAAAGAAAGTGAAGATGATTTAGAAGAAGCCATTAAAGAGCAGATTGAACAAAGAGATGTAGAAAAGGTGTTGGCACTCTGCCATAAAATAGTTCCAGAAGGTGAATTGATTTTCTGTCCTTATAAACTATTACTGTGCTCAGACAAATACATTGAATTTCAGTATCTCAAGAAATCGATATTTTAAATACCGTGGATATTTTGAAGTGAGTTGGAAGTTCTAAACACTCTTTCATCATGTATGAAAACCTCAATATCTCAAACACTTTGAAATCTGAAATCATCTTCATTTCCATCAAGTTTGAAATAACAAGGCTTGACTATATTACAGTGAAAACTGTTTAATCTGACACCTGTGCAATCCATTTCACTGTGAAATCCACTGTTTATTTTCATTCCATTTTACTATGTGTAATCCAACACCCTCTCTCTTCTGAACAAAATTTGTCTCTCAGTGCATGTTGGATTACATAGGTTTCACTGTAATAACATTATCATATTCTTCAGTTAGTCTTCTTTCCATAATAGGAAGTTATATAAAAAATATGCTTATTTCAGGGAAAACGATGTCTGGACAAACATTAGAACATTTGATACATTTCCTCAGCTTTTATTGCCTGAGGGATCACACAGCGACAGAACCAGAGGAAATAGAACTACTGGATAAATTCAAGTCGGAAAAATACTTGCCGTAAGTTTGAGAGGAGAATTGATGATTTCTTAAGTAAGAATTGATTTTTCTGTGGATTAATTCTGGCCATAAAATATCTAAGAAAAATACCTGCAGAAAAAATTCTTTTATATCGCCCAGCATGAACTTGATACTTCTGGCCTGCTCAGTAACATAGAGCAAGGGAATCAGATAAATTTGAATAAATACTGAAAGTTTTAATTCATGATTGCACCACACTGTCTATTTACAATAACTGCATGAAAATTTGCTTTTCCAAATGAAGATAAAGAACTTATGAAAACTTGTAATTTGGAACACTATACACTGTCATACACATACATGTGTATGTGAGCACAATTTCATCTTAAATTTTTGTAAGATCAATATAGTTTTTTTTATGATGCTATAGATCACCAAATTTTCACAACACCTTATTTTTGTGAGAAAAGGTATTTGGTATTTATGAACCAGAATTTATTTTAACGAAATCTTGTTATCGTTGTCTATGGTCTAATAAAAATATACAAGAGAAAAAAATTTTGCAAGAAGACCGTCTTGTGTAATAACACAAAAAAAAAAGTTCTCACGATTAAAAAGTTATTTACAGTACTGTAGTAAATGGTTTATGCATTACCATGTGGTTATTTCTTGCATATCAGTTAAAAATGAAAGAATTTTTATTTTGGGGGTGTAAATTGCAGTTGATACTTTATCAAATATACTGTAATGCTGATCTGAAGTTCCACTGCATTTTATATCCCAATAAAAATGTTCAAAAATGCATGTATGTTCATTACTTCTTTTAAAATAATATGCTATGATGGTAAAGACGTATATGCTTGGTATTTAGTTATGTATGTTGCTTGGTATTTAGTTATGTATGTTGCACATGAATACATAGGAAGATTGTGTCCAAAATATATCAACTTGTAAATAGAAGATAGTGCTTTTTGGGGTTTTTTTTTTTTGAATATCTGTTTAAAATCCTATTGAGTTGTCATTATATGTTAAGGTTCCCCTTTTAATATTTACAGATTAGACAACATTCTCAATGATTTGTTCTTGTTTGAAGCAGAGAAGCCTCCTGCTGTCTACAATTCATTTATTCGACAGTATCTGAACTCTGCTGAGGTGGGTATACAATTTGTTCATTGGACAGTATCTGAACTCAGCTGAGGTGGGTATTCAATTTGTTCATTGGACAGTATCTGAACTCAGCTGAGGTGGGTATTCAATTTGTTCATTGGACAGTATCTGAACTCAGCTGAGGTGGGTATAGAATTTGTTCATTGGACAGTATCTGAACTCTGCTGAGGTGGGTATAGAATTTGTTCATTGGACAGTATCTGAACTCTGCTGAGGTGGGTATACAATTTGTTCATTTGACAGTATCTGAACTCTGCTGAGGTGGGTATACGATTTGCTCATTTGACAGTGTCTGAACTCTGCTGAGGTGGGTATACAATTTGTTCATTTGACAGTGTCTAAACTCTGCTGAGGTGGGTATAGGATTTGTTCATTTGACAGTATTTGAACTCAGCTGAGGTGGGTATAGAATTTGTTCATTTGACAGTATTTGAACTCAGCTGAGGTGGGTATACGATTTGTTCATTTGACAGTGTCTGAACTCTGCTGAGGTGGGTATACAATTTGTTCATTTGACAGTGTCTGAACTCTGCTGAGGTGGGTATACGATTTGTTCATTTGACAGTGTCTTAACTCTGCTGAGGTGGGTATTCAATTCGTTCATTGAACAGAATCTGAACTCTGCTGAGATGGGTATACAATTTGTTCATTTGACAGTATCTGAACTCTGCTGAGGTGGGTATTCAATTTGTTCACATGACAGCTAGTGTCTGAACTCTGCTGAGGTGGGTATACAGTTTGTTCACATGACAATATCTGAACTCTTCTGAGATGTGTATAGATGATCATGTTTTACATTTATGTAAGTTAGTATACATACATGTATGTATATAAGATCATGGTAATGGTTCAAGTACAACAACTGCAATTGGTTCATTGGTTCTGATTTCAATTCCCCCTCCCCCCCCCCCCCAAAAAAAAAAAAAAAAAAAACAGATATAAAATGAAAAACAAACAAAGAGATATTCTTTCGCTAAATAATACATGAATTATTGATAGTTCTTTTCAAAAAAAAAGTTTGTGTTATTGAAGTATTTATTTCTATTTATAATTAATCTATTTTCAGTTGAAGAAGCCAAGGGAATGTCTGAAATTTTACGAAACAATGAAGAACACTAAAACACCATGTAGGTACAGTAAAACACAGCTTATAGCAAAAGTGCCAGGGATGAACACTTAGGTTTCATTTCAAATGTAATTCTTTGCACTGGATGAGTTCATAACACATTTTTAAACCACAGAGAATAAAAAGTCACTTTGCAGTAAGAGTTTTTTCATTATAAGCATATCTGCTGAAACTTACAGTATTTTTCTCTGAATGTACATACATGCATTATGTACACTGTACATTATATGTGTACATCTTCCTGTATATAGTATGTAAATATGTAAAGAAGTAAATTAAGTAAGAGATTAATAAGTATATAGGTATCCAGGGTATTCATTTTTTGATAAGAAATATAGGCACTGGTATCTTCTGTACCTTCGTGGATATTTTTGATTATGTATAATTTAAAACATATATTTAGCTTCATGAGAAGTATTATTTAAAGAACATGTTTGCCATCAACATAAATACTGCAAAAAATGTCAAATTTAATTTAATTGATACCATCAGTTCGTTAAATTGTCTTATTGAATCTGAAATCTTAATTAATTAGGGCCCCGCAAGAAAATGCAGGAGCCCTCTAGGAATCACTTTGTCTGTCTGTCTATCCCTCTGTCTGTCTGTCAACACTTTGTTGTGCAATAGCTCAAACAGTTTTCAATGAAATGTTTTCAAATTTTGTACATATAAATTTAAAGTACTTTATCATAAGAGCAAGACACCCAGTAGATTTTGGGGTCATTTCACTCCGCCTGTTTGTCTGTATGCATCCATGACACTTTGTTGTGACATGATGACTCAAACGGTCTCCATCAAAATGTTTTCAAATTTTGTATATGAATACTTTTTTTATAAGAGCAAGACACCTATATATTTTTGGATCCATCCATCTATCTGTCTGTCTGTCCGTCAACACTTTCGTTGTAATGTGATAACTCAGTTTTCAATGAAATGTTTTCAGATTTTGAACATTAGTGCTTTACTATAAGAGCAAGACACCTATAGAGTCTAGCCTAAGGGTCATACGACTTTGTCCTTTTAACAGCCCTTAGCAGGGCCCTCTCTGACTTTGTCAGTTTTCTAGTTTTAATGAAATAAATAATTGAAGAGTCCATCCTTAATTGCATTGTTAATTGAAATTATGACACAAAAAGAATGACCTTTTATGCATTTCATTAATTAATGCTGTATTTTCCAGTGGAGAGGAAGACCTATCATTACATCCTGAGTCATGCTCCAACGCTTTTTGTGTCTCTTCAAGAACCATACAAAGCTGTCCATGTGAGTTGATTTTTCACCTGATTTCTCAAACAGTATTAAGTGTGTAGGTAAAATACATTATTGGATTAAGCAATAAGTAATCATTTCTTTACGGGCATGTCACAAGGTTATGAATAATGATATTTATAGTGGTATAGAGTACTGAGTAAATTTTAAAACAAATGTACAGTCAATCCTCATCGTAAACATGATGGGCTCAAGACAAAAACTAGAAATATCCAAGGATTCAAAGTATTGGGGTAAAATACATAAAAAAACAGAGATTGGGACTTCCAAGTCACTTCAACATATCAGTGATATTCAAGATAACAACTGTATCTATGTAACAGAAGTTCAACTGAGCATGAATATTTACTTATTTTAGAAATATTTGTAAAATGACTGTTGTTGAACTAAGAAATATGTTAGTATTTCAGTGAGCATTCTTATTTAGCAGTCATAGAATCAATTCCAATTTATTTAGAATAAATGGAGAATAATGAAATATACTTTTAATCTATAGTGGAGATATGCATTAGTTTCCTGATGGCATTTTTCTTTCCAGCAAGTATTGAATGACATGAAAAAGGCTGGTTATCATCCAACAGTAGAGACCTATAACATGGCTCTGCTGGGGCTAAAATCTCAACGCTTTGACTCAAATAATTCTGAATGCCTGGATTATGGATTAAAACTTATTGCTGATATGAAAGATGTTGGAATCGGTAAGTGTTTCAGTGTAGGATGGACTCTGGTGTACATAGAACCTCGTTAATCCAGATGCAATTAATTCAGATGCTTCACCTTCCAGAGGAGAGTTGTTGGGAAAAATTTACATTTTTATTTACCAGTTATAAGAGATTCATTTCAGCGATCGGGATGCTTTATTAATCTGGACAAATTGTTTGGGAAGACAAGTATCAGGATTAGATGAGGCTCAACTGTATAGTAAACACCTTAATGGTGTTTATCTGTAAACTTATTGGTTAACTTGAATTTTCTCGGATATCTTTAAATGAAAATGAAACCTTAAATGTATTACACCTATTTACTATTTTGAGGGCATATATGGTCATTGTGATCATTAAATTACAAAATTTGGGAATAAACTATAAAGAAAAGAAAAACCAATGTAATGGTACACTTTTTATTTGATGGATTCCTCATTTTCAGAACCCACTTTGGACACTTTGAGTATACTCACCAGTCTTTTAGATATGTCAGTATTTGGAAAAGGAACAAGTATGTATTCCTGTTACTTAGAAAATTAAGATGCAGGAAAGGTGCTTATTTTGGACCAGAATTAATTTGCTTGGTCAAAAATATTTTGGCAAGAATCTTGACCTATTTAGAATTTACACAATTTTGTAAGTGAAAATTATTACAATTATTGTATACTGCAAACCAACTATTATTCGCGTCACCTTTTGTTCTCGATTCGTCAGTTTGAAATTAATTTGTGACGATTAATTTTCGAGACTGAGGAAAGATTCTTTACAAATACAAAGCAAAATAAATGGTTCCGGCAATTAGTATTCGCGAGTTTAAGTAGGTTGTGAAACTAGCCGATATTTGTCACGTGAATAAAATTTGGTTTACAGTATTAACACCGTAAAACATTTCACCATGTTAAATGATTGATTCATGATTAATTTTCTGTGAGTTGGTGTAAACAATTAGTTTTGTCTAAGCATTGCTGAGCTGATTAAGAGTGGTATGCTTAATTTGCCTACTTCAGAGTTTCTGAAGTGCATGTATGGTATGGTAGGTACATATAACTATGTACATGTATTTAACTTTCAGAAAACTCGGGGGCACTTTTTAAAAAAAAAACTCACTAAATGTCCCTGCTAATTTTTGATGTCATTTGATATATGTCTAATGAATAATTATATACAGGTTCAGGGGTCATGCGGGTCATGAACCTAATGATGGATGAGATTGAGGGAAAAAGGTTTAAGGATGTCGGCCCACAAGGCAGTAAGTTGTGCGCAGTGAATTGTGTAGATGGAAATACAAATGTAGTAATTTATGTCTGTTTGCTTGTGAGTCAATACAGCAACTCTTGCTTTACCCATGAATATCAAAATATTGTTTGATAAAAACTTTTGAAAAATAAGATCAATATAATACATGCAGTAGACGTCAAAGGTCATGGAGAAATTTGTCACGATGGAGAAAAAATTGAAAATATGCTACATGTATAATACTTTTAAATTTTTCGTACTAGGAAATTATGAAATTGAAACTATTAATTATATTACACTATTTGTAAATTTTGCAAATTAATGAACTTGTAATGATTTCATTTTATTATTGTTTTACAGGGAAATTCATCATAAGGGCATTAAAGATCGTAAGTTGAAATACTTAAAAATGTGTAAATAGTACAAAGGTAATAATTAAATCTAAGGTTCTTAACCTTGCAGTATATGAGAAAATATTTAAATTACCTATATTTACATTTGCAAATGTTTTCCCTTATAAAACACTATTTGGGCAATGTGTATTGAAACCCAGAGCTGCCAACATTTTTATGCCTCACAATGAATATGGCCAGGGCATATTATAGTGTTTGTCATGTCCGTCCTTCCGTCTGTCCTTCTGTCACACTTTGCGTTTAGCTCTGTTCAAAGCTCAGTTTCAAAGAAACTATCCAAGATATTTTTATCAATCAAACTTCATATGCTGATAGATATTGATGAGAGCTATGCAACTGCATCAACATTTTTTGACCTTGACCTTTACTTTGACCTTGACCTCACTTTTCTTAAATTAGTGTTTAGCTCAGTTTTAAAGATACCATTCAAGATAGTGTAATCAAACTTCATATGTTGATACATACTGATGAGGACTATTCAACTGCATCAACATTTTTATACCCCCCGCAAACGAAGTTTAGGGGGGGTATATTGGAATCAGCATGTCCGTCTGTCTGTCCGTCTGTCTGTAGACGAGATTTTGTCCTGACCATTTCTTGGAAACTGTTGGAAGGATTTGTCTGAAAATTTGTACACTTATTATTCGCCATATGAAGGTGTGCACCTGGTATTTTCATTATGATTGGACAATTTTTCTGCATTTTACAGGTGTTTTTTCATTTTTATTATTTGGTTTTGTCTGGATCTGTTCCCAGAAACTATTGCATAGATTTGTATGAAAATTTGTACACTTATTATTTACCATATGAAGATGTGCACCTGGTATTTTCAACATTATTTGATAATTTTTCTGCATTTTACAGGTGTTTTTTTTTAATTTTTATTGACTTAGTCATTTCGGGTTCATGTCTAAGGTTTGAGACATAGAATCTAGAACACCTGTACAAAAATGTGAACTACAGCTTAAAACTACTCATTAGAACTAAAAAAAACCCCACAAAGTATTAAAAACAGTTTTTACATTACACAGCAGATAGTGTAAATCCATTTGTCCCTTGGGAGTAATGAGTGGACATGCATCCAGTTAAAGATTAATTAATGAGTTCAGTGTGGGAAGCTGTTAGGGCATCTCTGATCAGGCAGGTCTTATCTATATCTCCGGGGAATTGGGCAGAAAGAAAGAAAGATCTCTGTTGTCTAAGTCTCTTAATTGTTATTTATGTCTGTCAAAATACATAGTTACTAAAACCAGCCTTTTATTTTTAAAATGAGTTTGATATAAAGGTATTAAAATCAATTTGATTTTGTATAATTAATTATGATATTTTTTTTTTTTCAACAATCAATTTGCAGAGTGTCATGTCTCACAAAGATGACAGATAGTTGCAAACTATTTTTTCAATGTAATAAAAAACACTGTAATTATTAGTGTTGATATTTTATTAGGCTGCACCTTAGTTTCATTCATTAAAATAAAGTGCCCCACCACAGCATTATACGCCCATCAAATATTGTTAAATTATCATAAACAGTTTAGATTCAATTGGTCGAATGACATCTTAGTGAGACAAGGCAGTCTGCAATTTGTTGTAAAGATATAAAAATTCAAATAAAAAATGTACAATAAATAATTAGTTTAAATTATATTATACAATATCATATAAGTTTTAATTATTATAAACAATATCAAATTAGTTTTAATTACATCAAATTTATCTTGAAAGTAAGACTAGCCAACAAGAACAATTCAATACAACACAAGCAATTAATTAAGAGACTGATTCCTTTTGCCCATTTCCCAAGAGATGTAGATAACACCTGCTTGATCAGAGATGCTCTACCAGTTATCACCTCACACTAAACTCATTAATTTATCTCTAATTTGACATGCAATTTTCTGCTATCAAAATTTTCCTTGACCAGTGCCTGATCATTACACCCATGGGAGAGGTGGAATTTTTCTTGTTACAGATTGCTGTAAAGAACATAATGAAAAAAATAAGACTAAATAATAAGCCGGACATGAAAAAGCTAACAGAGGGACATGAACGCTATAACATAATACGTCCCGTCTTAAGACGGACATATAAAAAATATAATGAGTAATTAAATTTTCACTGGAAATGTTTAAGGAAATTGTGAACACCTCTCACATCTAGAAAACATTAGTGATTTGGTACTTTCTCTGAAAAACCCAGCGGGGGGTATTTGTCCCTATTGGACAGTTCTAGTTTGACCTTGACCTTTCTTTTGACCTTGACCTCACTTTTCTTAAATTAGTATTTCGCTCAGTTGTAATGAAACCATTCAAGATATTTTTAACAAACTTCATATGCTGATACCAGGGATGGGGTAATTGAAAAAAGTAATTGTAATTGACTGTAATTAATTAATTACATATTTTGAAGTAATTGGAAGTAATTTGTAATTGAACATTTTTTCAATTACTTGTAATTGTCATTTAATTAATTACAC